CTGTTTATCCTGATTTTTGTTTTATTGGGTACTATGTTTAAACTTCCCAGTATATTTGTATTTCTTATCTTATCCATTTTTTGACCCCTGCTATTATTCTCAGCATTCTCATTGTCATTGTTTATAAATTCTCTCGTCTGATTTTATGCTTGCTATATTTCCTATCAGTTAATTGTAATATGAAACTGTTTATCTTCCCTTTTAATTTATAAGGAACTCCTTTGTCAAAGAGCCCGTTTAATAAATTTTTCCATCTCAGCTATCTTTTGTTCATTTTATTTATTATTTCTCTTTCGATTGTCCAATTTTATCTATTATAAAAAAATTAACTAGAAATTTCGCTCATATTTTTTATCAAATTTCTGCTATATTTACCAATTTTATATACTATTGTATAATTTAGAGTTGGGATCATTTATATTTTAAAAAATTTCGCCTATAATTATGGTCAAATTTTGAAATAAACTTTATGATGGTTAAATAATTAAGTGAATTTATTTCTTTTAGCTTAAAATAAGGATTTGCCTATTTAAAAAAATATGGAAGAATTCTTTGAATTCTACCTAAATTTTTAAAAAATCTAGGCAATTTCTATTTTACTTTTTCATTCTAATGTTGCATCAGAAAGAATTTTTATAGTTATTTTTAATGATCATACTTATGAATTACATGAATGGCGGTACTAATTTTCATAAAAACTCGATTATTAAATAAAATACACTCATCAGATAAATATATAGAAACTTGTTTCTAGCTTCTCAATTGACTTAAACATATAATAAATATAGAAATAAAGATTGATAAATTTGTAATTTATGATTAGCATTTAAGCAAAGTATATGAATTTGCAATTACACAAACGGGTTATTTAAGATGATAAAGTTTTTCCTAGGCATAAGGCACCTATTACAGGGACTTAACAATTTAATAAACTGTCCCAAATCTAAAACTTTTTTAAACGAAATTAATTTTTTTAAAAATCTTTATTGATAAATAGATAATTAATATAATTAGGGCTTCGTTCTAACCCGGGAAAGGAAAGGGAAGGTGAAGAAATGAGGAGGGAAATATAAGAGAAAAAGGAAAGTGAAAATAAAATGAATAATGGAAGAAAAAATAAAATGGGAAATAAAAAAGTAAATGAGGAAGAGGGGAAAAAATGGGAAGGAATAGAAAAGGGGAGGGGAAGGGTAGGGAAGAAAAATGGTAGGAAAAGAAATAGGGTAAGGAAAAAAGAAGGGAAGGGAAAAAGAGAGAGTGAGGAGAGAAAAGGAAATGGAAAGAAAAACAAGAAGGAAAAGAAAAGAAATGAAAAAGGAGAGGGGAACGAAAAGGAAAAAAGGAATGAGAAAAGGGGGGGGGGGAAGAAGGGGGAAAAAATGTAAAAGGAGAGAAAAGTGGAAAAAAAGGAAAGGAGAAGGGAATTACAAAGACAAAAAGACACTTCTAAAAAGGAACCAGGTTGAACCATTTGATATCTAGCCTCTTTTATAGACGATTAATAATCAGTTATGACTGATGATCTTGCTATATGACGATGCCAGCAGTAGGGGAAAGGAGGAGTTGGAGTTGATACCCTCTTTCTCATAACCCCCGATAAAAAAATTAACTATAAATTTACTAATATAATTTATCTTTTTAAAGTTAAATATTATATATAGTAATAATATAATTTATATTGTCGAATATTTATTAAATAAACCTAAAAATCTATGAAGATCATAGAATCAGAAGATTCAAAAATATTATGAATAGGGGAAAATCTTTAATGTATTTAGACTTAATTAATTTTTGAATCTTATTTAAAATTCCATATTTAAGATTCAGCCTAAGGCGTGGAATAATTTTCATTTCGCTTATAACTGGTTTTTATTTATTGATTAAAAAATTGGTTGATGAATTAGTAAGTACTAATCAAGCCTTGCTGTGCATTACTAAATTTTCCTTCTTACATGTTGTCAATCTTGGCACTTTATTTTTATTTTGCCAATAATATTTTTCTTTAAACCATCCACCAAACGGGTCGAAGTACTAAAAAGTATAAAATAAACACTAATTATTCACATAATTCTCAGAGATAATACGTTCATATTGTATGATTTTATATTTATGGCGTAATATTGTATATAATTCGTAACGCTTATTTTTTTTGTGACTTGCAAAATTGATTAAAGAATTAATAAGTAAGACGCTAATTATTAACACAAACCAGATAGTTTTAATTCCTATATTCTCCGTTTTGGCATGATGCTACTAATTTTTTATTTTTTAATTAATCCTTTTCCTTTTAAACCATCTACCATATAGAATAAAAATGTTCTAATAAAGCCCTACTTAATGGTTTGGTATAAGTTTCATTTGCTAAAACTTAGCTATCTTATTTTTAAAGTGTGTCGTAATTTTAATTTTATTATAACTCAGTTTCTTTCTCATATTAGATTGAGGATATAAAATTACTAGTAAAGCACTAAATATTAGCGCTATAGTTATTTTTATATTTTCTATTCGTATAATGCCAATTTTTTTTACTTTCCACTGTATATCAAACGGATTAAATTAATTTACAATTGAGGACTGAACATTGATATAATTTGCAGAATAATGATTTCAATCTCTTTTTAATCGCAAGGTTGGCAAAAATTTTGTTACTAGTAATTTTTTAATTTATGCTGGTTACTATACTTGTTAAAATCAGACACTAATAAAGGCAACGTCTACATGACAAAATTTTCAAGGATGCAAGCCCCCTTTAAAAACTTGTGCCTACCCCCCTAAATATGTTTACCTATTAATCATTTTTGCTTTTTCGTTATAATGATACTCCTTTCAGAAAATTTAAAAAGAATGGCCTAAATTATTTTATCTCTACTACCAACTATCGATATTTTGTGAATATAAAGGATTTATTTTTTAGATAATAAATTATATTAAAACCCCCATCATTTACTTACAATGAATTCATTATTAAAGCATTATGAGCTTGCTGAAAATGTCTAAACCTTTTAAATATAGCAGTAAGTTTTATTTGGAAAATAATGTCTATGATTGTTTGCAATATATAGATTTGGTCGATGAATGGTATTATAATAGGTCTATAATGAAAGTATTAATTTTTACAGCAATAAATTTTGTCCTATTTCATCTCAAAATTTAATAGATAACCCCTTAAAAAATTATCCTACCCCCCCCCCCCCCCACTCAGTAAACTGTCCCCCCCCCCCGCTCATGTAGATGCTGAATAAGCACAAAACATTGGCATATTTTAGAATAAGTATTATTTGTTATAAAGATAACCATAAAAAAACCAATATTATATATATTTTTTAGGAGAGACCCGGTCGATGGTTGGGTTAAACGGGCTACACTTATATATAAGTTTGATAATAATGATCTATACCACGTATATGAGCCCTCAGAAGATACATTTTTATTTATGAATGCTTTTAAACTTAGGAAAAGTTTTATTATAACTTTAAAACCAACAATTATTCTAGAAATTGGCTGTAGCACAGGAGTTAAAACAAAATTTCCAACACTAAATTTTGGTTTAGATAATATTCATTTTATGGCAACTGATATAAATTATTCTTCATGTTTTAATACTAGTGAAACAATTTATTTAAATTATTCCCAATTACCTTTAAAAGCAAAAATGGCCTACAGTTTCAATTTTTATAGATGATTTAGCTTAATGTGTGATTGATAGACTAAGTCATGCCATGCCATCTTAGACAATGCCCGCAATGGAGGTTTTATAAAATATTTGCTATAACTCGCTTCTTTAAAGCCTTTTTTAAAAGGACGCCATGTTTTGTCCTCGTCATTTAGGATCACTTACATTTCTATTGTTTTGTATAAACATTAAAGACAAGATGTACCAAATAATATTAATTAGCTTATATATATATTTATAAATTTAATAAACTTTTATAAACATAATTGATATGAGTTACCTATATATGATATTTTACTTTTTACTATTCTAGAATAATGCAATGTTTCAAATAGCCGTTTCCAAAACTTTAACTCAACACTTAAATTGGTGTCAATTATTTACTTATCTTTTAACGTTGTAGATTTTTTGAGCGTTTAAACGCGATGTTAAGAAGTAAGCTAGGAGACTAGCTATCACACATCGTATAAAAGACTCAAAATTCCCCAAATTACTGGAGGATTCGCTGCGATAAAATCCAACAATTAGTCTCAGATAATATTTTTATACGACAAAGAATCATGTTTAAAAAATTATAATTGAGAGTTAACTTGTGAGCAGCCTGATTCATTCTGAATAAAGCATTTTAAGGCGTCGTTGAATGGAAATCAGCTAGATAGCACGTGACACGCCATTGGTAACCTATTTATGCATTCACAATTAGAGCGAATTCGCGGCGAGTTATACAAAAATGAAATGTAAAATTATTATATCAATATCAACACTAAAATTATATTTACTTCGATTACTATTTCTCAAATCCTTTCATATTTAAACAAAATTTTATTTGTTATAAATTTTTGACACAATTTCTTTAACACATTTTTTTAATAAAAATAATATATAAGCTAATAATCATTGGCATAATATGTTAACACTGATATAGTAGTGATTAATACATGTTTCTAAAAAAAATATATATAAGCTAATAATTATTGGCATAATAAGCTATCACTGTTTATGTTTTTTTTTAATAGAGTGAAATATAACATTTTTTTAAATGTCTTTATATATAGTGTTATGTAGATTTAATTTAATTTAATACATATCCATATTTTTTTAATTCGTTTTTAAATAAAATTGTTTAACTAAAATTGAGAGTATATAAATATGTTTTTTTTAACAAATTTTTGCAAGTCAAATAATTATATTTTCAAATAAAATAAATTAATTAAATACGGAAATGTTTAGAATTAAATCTGCACAACAACTGTATAAATATATGAAAAAAATTTATATAAAAAAAACATTATAAAAAAATAGTTTTTGATTTCTTTAAAAAAATATACTAATAATAATATTAATATAATATCAAAATTTTTGAATGCTAATAATATTTTACATCACAATAAATCGGGAAGGTCTGAACCCCAAGCTAAAACAATTCCCTGGCCCGATTCTAATCGTAAGCCTTTGTTACCATCCGCCATATTATGAATATTGTTTAGAGAAGCACTCAGATTTCTGTTTGCCATTAAACCTTGATTCAATTCTATCTCTTTCGAATGAAATAAATTTATTTGATTTCCGATCGAAATAGCGCTATTAGGATGATAGCTGGGAGTCGTAAGCAAAACTTTTAAAGGTTCGTTGGCTGGAGTTAACCCCTTTGAATGTTCTTCTAGTGGGTAGTAGTCTGGTTCCCGACCCAAGTTAAGAATAATAAAGTATCTATAAAATTTTGATTTTTTAAATGATTAAATTTTATTTGTCTCAAATTAAACCTTTAAAAAATTTTTCGAGTAAAAAAAAAATTAACATGGATTATTTTATGATCTTTCCAATGCTAAAATAAAAAGTTTATTCTTTATCTTTCAAACTCAAATAAAAATATTTCTAATATAACTGCTAAATAAAATATTTGGATTTTTTTAAAATTGGTTAAAATTTTAAAATGTTCCCCAATGTATCTAAAGCGATGAATTTACCAAAGACCTGCAGACCCAATCTTAATCCCGGCATGGTTACACGGGTTGAGCCGTATTTTAATTTTTTTAAATATAACCCGGCCGGGTTTAATTTTTTTTTAAAAAAATTACCAGGCCGGACGGAAAAAATATATTTAAAAAAAATCGTGGCCAGGACGTGCAAATGGCACCTCTGGAGATCTCTGGAATTTACATTTACAAGATAAATTTTTACAATTTTAAAATGGTCCTTTGTGCTTTTGAAGCAAACTTATAAAAAAAAATAAAATATAGAAGTTGCTATATAATATGTTATAAAAAATATATGCTAACCAGAGTGTCAAACCTTTTGATATATATTCGATTCGATTCAGGTTCCAGGAAATTTTTTTATACAAAGGTTTAGGTTCGGTTCAAGTTCATAAACCTCTAAATAAAGGTTCATAGAGGTTCAATTAATAATTTTAATCTTATTTTATGGGAATATAAAGGAATAAGAAAAATAAAACACTCTTTTAAACTAACCCAAAATCTTATATGTATATAAAATTATCAAATATATCTTTGTCCAATCTCGTTCTCTGTGATACAAGAATATAATTCAATCTTCAAAATGTTCTTTCAACCTAAATCTGTATAGCTGGGATAGATACGGCTATTATTGCTAATAGATAGACCTAGGGTTGTTCTAATTTTCTTCCTTTCCGCAAAAATATTGATGTTTTTATTCCCTTCGACGTCTTTAAAGGATTTTTTTGTATTGTATGGCTATTTTGACTTTTGACATTTTTCATTGTGTTGGGGTAAATTATTTAGACTACACTAATGGTAAGTTTAGTATATATATTATTATACCATCAACGTGCCTCAATTACATGTAAAGTTTGAATAAAATGTTTTCTAGTCATCTTGTTTTGTCATCTAACAAAAATATTTTATATCGAGGATCAAGATATAGACACTCACAGAATGAATAATTTTTTTAGCTTTTATCTCCCTTGATTTTATGGAAGAAATTAGAAAATTAGCAAATGTATTATTAAGTTGTACTTTTTATTTTTATAATGATAAATTATTAGTAATATAATTTAAAGTAGATCACATTTACCTAATAATATTCATAATAGTTACAAAAAAAATCAAATTATAAAAATATATTTAAAGAAAATAACGCCTAGATATATATATATGCTAAAGAGGAAAGACTGAAAGAGATTTTTTAAATTACATTAATTAATATTCATAACATAACTACATGAACCCGTTCTGGATTATATGATCATAAAGGTTTCAAATGGTTCGGTTGGCTCCTTTAAATTTTTTTTTAAAAAAAAGTTCGATTCAGACACATTAAATTGGATTTCGAGGTTCACTTCGACACTCTGATACTAACCCTACTGCGCATGCGTTTCCCTCTTAAACCGTAACAGCGTCAAAAACAAACGCCACTTTATATTTATAAATAAATTTGTAAATTCCTAAACTCACTCTTAAAACATAATAATTGTTTTTTAAGATAAAAAAAATATATAAATATATATGTTTTTTTATAATGAGTTATTAACCCTTTAGTGCCTTCCGCATTTTTTCGAACAAATGAGAAAATATTTTTATTGACAGCACCATAACCAATATTGATATCTCTGAATTCCTTTTCTCTTCTCAACTTGACCAGGGCCCGAAATATGTTGAGATGTGACATCTTATCATCTTTCTCGGTCTATATAATAAAATGTCACTTTTTGTTATTATCACTTTACTCTACTAGCATGCAGTCTATCAATGACGGGTAAATCAGAAATTTCTCCTTTATTTGACGAGAGAAGTGTTGTTAAAAAGTTCGTTTTGAGCCGATTTTATAAAAACGGCTAACTCAACATTTTAGCGAGATTTCGATGATATACGTTTGGACCTTTGTTCCTCTTTGTTCCTTCTATGAACAAAATCTTCAGGCTTGCGTAATATTTTTCTAGATGGAATATTGAGTAACCATTTATAAAAATCGGCTCAAAACGAGCTGTTTAACAACACTTGATTATATCTAAATATTTTCTTTTATTTTGATAAAATATGTTAAATTATATACTTTATAACTTAAATATGAACATGATAGGAATATATGTGTAAATACACTACTTTTAAGATATCCATTTTATAATATTTCAAAAAGTTGTCTTTATATGCTCAATAAAAAAAATTTCAACTATATTTTTATACATTTATATTTGTAATGACAAATCTTAATCTTGCTAGGTTAGAGTTTTGCATACCTTATGTTCGATTTATTATTGCCCTACAAAACATATATAAGATTAAAATTTTCGGATCATAAATTACAAATGTGAAAAAGATTTTTTTTTATTGTGTATATAAAGAAAACTTTTTGAGATATTAAGAAAATGATATCTAAAAAAAATAGTATATTATTCGCAAATATGTTGCAAATATCTATTCATTTTAAAAGATACTAGATATATACTTCATTATATATTTTATCATAATAATGGAAACTTTCAGAATCATCACTTATCAAAATAAAGGTAAATTTTTGATTTATACCTCATAAAAAAGCAAATACCGGGTGCGATTGTTAACAAATAAAGAAATTTTTGATTTACCCGTCTTTCTTGATCATCTGCTAATCTATATCCTGTATCTTATAGAAGTAGAAATATAATAGAAGAAGAGTGTAGATCAAATCGAAAGAAATACATCGAGGAAAAAAGATATATAAAATTAGACTTTTTAGAGTGATGACAAAGATTCAACCTGATATATATAATATGTCGTAATAAATTTTTTATAATAATTATTGTATTTATAATTTAAAAAAAAATTTATTTTCTTTTTTCCAACAATTACTTTAAAACTATTATATTAAGATAGACATTCACTTTCCTTCCCTTCCAGAATTTTTTTTCTTAAATCGAAATTGGTGTAATGGACACATTTAATAAACACTTAATTATTCTTAATTTAATCACAACAAATATAAAAAATAAACATTTTACTTGGAAGTTTTTTACGACGTAATCTGGGTTAACGGGTAACCATGGGGAGTTAGATGTGGTAAAACCTGCGTTCGGCGATGAATCCCATTGCATGGGAGCTCTTTCTGGATCTCTAGTATATAATTTGTATCTTTCCTTCGCAATATATGATTGGATATTATAAAATATTTCATAAATGGGTACTATAATAAAAATAAGTCTTCAAGTAGAGAAGCGTCATACCTTGTTTTCCTTTATTTTATCTTTAAAAATATTTTTTTAATTTTATAATTTGCGGTTTGAACTACAAATGTTTAGGTAAACTGCAAATGATTATGTAAATTTTTTTGATATATTCTCCATTAATTGGAGCGAGATTCATTTACTTATAATACAAATAACTTATAAAAATTAAATTATTAGATATATTCAATAATAAAGGAATATCCATTTAATAGTTGTATTTCCCATTATCTCATAATAGATAGTTTAAATCCTTCAATATATTTATATTAAAAATAATTACCCTTATATTTGTGCAATAATATTATTATTATTACTTATTTAATTTTTTTTATGATTATTTTAACTATATTAAAATAGTGAGCTGAGGAATTTTAATCTTCCTGTAATTAAATTATCTTAATTCTGGACATCATATTGGGGTTAAAATATTAATCGTATATCAGTTTACTCGATTAATAATATATATTTATTATTTGGTAAATCGTTATTTTACCAGTCCCATATTTAAAGCAAAAGAATCTTGAGTTTGAGAGAAAGAAGGCACGTCGATATCTGTCATTCCCAACTCCCCTCCATAATAAATTGTCGGAGTACCTGACGTTTAATTTATCATTTAAATTTTTTTTAATTAATTGCTATGGCTAAAAAAAAATTGAGTCAGTCTACCATTTATATATTCATTCATAAGAGCATAAAGGTCCTCAAGATAGCAGAAACTATTTAAATTATAAAGTTCATGCCAGTCAAATCTCCATACCCAATAATATATTTCGAACCGCTCTAGCAGTGTTGTTAAACGGCTCATTTTGAGCCAATTTTTAAAAACGGCTAAATCAAAATTTCATCCAGAAAAAATATTACGCAGGCCTGAAGATTTTGCTCATAGAAGGAACAAAGGTTTAAACATATATTATCGAAATCTCGAGGCTTAGGCAATATTTTTCTGGCTAAAACATTGAGTTACCCGTTTTAAAAAATTGACTCAAAATGAGCCGTTTAACAACACTACTCTCTAGAATCAGAGTTGGACAATAGCGAAAAACAAGAAAGACATTTTGCAAAAGCTACCGCGCTTAGGTAAGCTTGTGGCGTAATGCCTGTATCTTTTGGAATAACTTTATGTATTTTTTCGAGGCATTTTAAAATGTAGCTTCGAGCTACTGCACCAAAATACATTTTGCAAATTTTACATGTAAACTAGTAGCTTAAGGCATGTATTTTTGACCCATTTTGAAATGAAGCTTTGAGCTATCATAGCTAAATATATTTTCTTTGAGTATTTTCTAATTATTCCTTTTCTCATTTCATATTATATTCTCTAATTTAAATTATAATTTTAAAATATATAATTATTAGTGTTATAATATACGGATGATACATTAATTTATTTAATAATATAAAATATTATTTAAGGAATAATTTTTTATCAATTGTCGATTAATATATATGTAATTTATTAATTTTTATTATAATGTTTATTCAAATTTTATCCTAATATTTATTCAATTTTATAATTAACTTAAAAATTTAGTTTCAAAACTTCAGATAGAAAATATTTTTTGATATGTTTCAACGGCCTTACTTTATTTTATAAATTGTAACATATTACGGAGATCACTTCTAAGTAGAAGAATCGTGATTATGAAATTGAAGAGGATTACATTATCGTATATATAAATACAGCGGACTAACTATGATGATAACTGATATTGCTAAATGGCTCTATTTGACCCTATTTTAAAAAACGGCTAACTCAATATTTTAGTCAGAAAATTATTGCTTGGGCATCGAGATTTTGCTAATAGATGTCCAAACCTTTTTGCCATCTATGAGAAGTCCTCAAGCTTGCGTAACATTTTTCTGGATATGACTCCAAAAGCCGTTTAACATCATTAATGGCTTTAACAAATGTATATCAAAATCATTAGAAAATAACAAAAGATGGATGATCATTTTTTTTAAAGATAATTGAAGCATCAAGAATGAACAAAGTTAGCGAAGAATGTGTTCTATGTAAGCCCAAAAATAATATTAGCAGGAGAAGCTCATTCCAAAACAAATTTTAGGGTCCACATTTCTTTAGAAATTGATTTTACTTAAATAAGTCATTCTTAGAGATTCTAATCTAGTCAAATTAATATACAATATAAATTTTTCTAAAAATTAAACTTAGAAAAAAGTATAAAATGATAATAATATAAGGACAACAACTCCTTTTTTTTGTGTTAATCAGAATGAAAGCAATAAAAAAATTATTAGTCAGTATTAGCAACCCCCTTATGGAATGTACCTCTTATCAATTGTTGAACAACAAAAATTTATTCAACTGATTTTTGGAATGCTTAAGCTACAATAAAGCTTGGAGCAGGTAAAAAAAACAGAATACTCAACTTCTCATCTTGGCTAAGATTCCTAGTTCTTATAATATTTACAGCTGGGCAAAAATTCGTTTTTCTAAAAAGTGGTTGACCGAAACATTATTTACCTTTACATAATGCTATCCTGAGGGTCGCAAAAAAAAATTCATTAAAACCAACTTATTTCCGGTTTTTTAAATTTAATCATTTTTAGGGACGGATTCAAAAAATTATTCTTCGGCCTGTTACTGATAAAATTAATGGTTTGACCCAATTCAAAGTTGGGTATGTGGATCTTAACCCTGGTTTATAATTTAAATGTTTGCATTTAACGATAATTTTCTTTTACCAGGTAATAAAAGTATGAGCATGTGAAACGCGTCCGTCATATTCTCACCAGATCTGGTCGCAAATCGATGGCGATCGTGATTACTTGTCTGTTAAAATATTTGCGGAAATAAATAAAATTGTGTAATATTTGTAGTATATGTTAGCGTTTATTCCGATGTGTTATTTTGTCAACTTTAGATCATTTTTTGAGCCTTTTTTTTTAAATTTAAAAATTTGATTTTACCAGGAAAGTATATTCTATTATGTTCGAAATACCTACCCTATAAATATCAGACAAATTGAACTTTTGAACTTAATATAATTAAAATTAGTTTTTTCATAGATTTTTTTGTATAAATTATAAGTGACTCAAAGTTTAACTGCAAAATTATCTAAAAATTAGTAAGATAGGTATTCTAAACGTGCTGGGATACATTTCCTGTAAAATCCGATTATTAAATTTAAAAAAAACACGCTCAAAAAAATGATTTATAGTTGAAACAATGACACGCTGCTGGAAACAACACATTCACGCTAATATATATATATGTGTATGTATATGACGTAATTTAAAGTAATCCACATCATAACAAATTATTTGTGTTTAAAATTAGACAGGTTTTACTAGGCAGGCGCTCTCAGTTAAAAAAATTTGGTTAAATGTTAATTATAACTATTCGATTAAGGAAAATATATTTTGAAGATAATTCATTTGGTACAATAAAATACAATTATTAATTTATATATTATCATAGCTTTAAGATAATTTAGGAAGTGAAACAAAGAAGAAAAATGGTGCTTGCCTTAGTAATGACGTAAAGTCAAGATTCGAATTATAAATCAGGGAAACAAATAGCGAATAAAATATAAGGGCAAGTGACACATTTAAATTCCACTAGGGTTCCTAATATACGAACAGCCATTTTAATAATGATATTTTTTAAACTATGTATCAATTTCCTTTATAGTATTTTTTTTAAAAAAATAGTTACAAAGATAGTTTACGTGTTTGGATAGGATAAAGTCTAAAATATGCAAGCCTTATAATTATTTCTTGGGATTTGGATAAAGAGTAATAATTTTTTTTACTTACCACCCAGTTAGGCCAACGTTTGCTATAATCGATAATATGACTAGATTCAACACTATGGTTAGATTTATGATCATTTTCTTTTATTTAAAAAAAAAAGAGAGTTGATTAATACAAAAAAAAATGAGAAAAAATATATTAGATATAAGAAACTTTTCATAAAACTCTTCAGGGGTATATGTATTTGTAATACCTATAGACTTTTTGGGTGGGATCATATATTTCATCCAAGTGTCGACCAGTTTCAAGGTCCCTAACCCGCCGAGTTGCTTAGCATCTGCGCCCACGAAATCAAAGTTATAAGGGAAATCGGCTCCACTTTTATCATAGTAATCCATCAAATTTTGCACCTCATTGTAGTCTTCGATCATAATCGCTCTTTAATAAATAAATTAGGAATTTTTTTATTTATTTTATATACCTGATTTTAAACTTTTCTTCCAAAAATAAAAAAAAAAAACTAGAAGTTTCTAAACATATTGTAATACCGAAATACTATATAGCAGAGACTTGCAGGGGTACCATTTTCAAGGCTCGGCCCGAGTTTTATATTTTCAGGCCGGGCCCTGGTTTTTTTAAATATATTATATTTATATTTTATATTTATAGTAAATGATGACCATTTAAAATAGTTGGTTTTAAAATATATGGCCCGGCCTGGTTATATTTAATTATATTAACGGGCTAGGTTTAGGGTTGAGCCTGCAGCTCTCTGCTATATAGTGTATGTCTGTCATAGAGATTTCAAATTAAGCCTAGCGCAAAAAATGACCTAGTATTTTTAATCATCATTTAAATTTATGCGAATCATTCATATTAAATATCGAATATTTCTTATCAAACAGAGATTTGGTCCTTAATTTTGGGCAGCAAAATATTTTTTAAAAAAGATTAAAATCAAACCAAGCAATTATGAAGTCTAACGTCCACTTTATATTTAATATAGTATATAAATCAGAGACCTTCTTATGCCTTAATTTTTGCCCTAGACCGTCCAGGCCCGCAATAATAATTTTTTTAGGCTCAGACCCGACCCATATCTAGTATATAAAAAAAATTCCCAAGCCCTGCCCAAGACCATATCCAAAAATTTAATTCATTGTATTTAATAAAAATGAACAATATTTAAATGTATTTACCCAATCATTTTGTTTAGAATACTTAAATTTATTATTATTAGAAGAAAAAAGTGGAAATATTTCTTTAAATTAGCAAATGTATGTAAATTTAATAATTTTAGACCTAAACCCAATCCATTAGAAAAAAATTTAAAAACACATGCCAGGCCCCACTAGAAAATATGATTTTACTGCTGGTCTCGGGCCCGCACTTTGATGTAGTTTTAAATGGTTTTTCTTTTTTTTTAACTTATAGGGTTGTTCTTAATTACTCAATATTCCTTTACCTAACACCGACTAAAGACTCCCTCTCTTTCTCAACATTTTACTTATAACATCTAAATGAATGATAAAAAGTTTATCAAAAATATATAAGAGTTTATTATAAAATTCAAAATTTTATCTTTTATGTTATTTTTTTTTAAAAAAAGAATTTAAAACAAAGATCATGTAAAAAAAACAATTAACGATTATAAAAATATAGCTCATATATATGTTAGCGTCTATGTGTTTTTTTCGGCAATGTATTATTTTTACAACTTGGATTTTACCGGAATAATATTCTATCATGTTTGGAATACCTATCTTATGAATTGTAGACAATATTTCCTTTATTAGTCATTAATTTATATATAAAGTATATGGAAAATTTAATAAATGATATTAGGTTTAAAAGTTCATGGAAAAATTGTCTGAAATTCATAGGGTAGGTATTTCAAACATGACGGCATATCCGGTAAAATCAGATTTTTAATTTTTTAAAAAGTGAGCTCAAAAAATGCTTTAAAGTTGTAAAAATAACACATTGCGGGAAAAAAACACATTGACACCAACATATATATTAATGATAAGAAACCGAACAACTGAATAAAATTTAAAAAAACTAAATCTAGAAAAAACACGTATAAGAGATCGGCTTACTTGCATTGCTTTATGGAACCTAGCAATGCAATTACTTTAATAAATGACCATCGTTAATGGTCTTTAAAAATTTTTTTTTAACTCTTGACATAAGCGACAAGGCCTAAGTGGGTAGGTAATTAGCTCTTATATTGAAACTGTTATCTGGTTCAAATCTTTTAATTGATATTTTAAGTTATTAATTAGGGTAGGTTTTTGTTAATAATATGCATAAATTTTTTTTAAAGTTATTTTAAATTTTATATGAGCCTTTATATTGTTGTTAAACGGCTTATTTTGAGCCGATTTTTAAAAACGGCTAGCTCAATATTTTAGCTAGAAAAATATTGTCTAAGCCTCTAGATTTTGCTAATAGATGTCTAAATCTTTGTTCCTTCTACAAAAAAAATTAGGCTTCCGTAATATTTTTCTAGATTAAATATTAAGTTAGCCGTTTTTAAAAATCGGCTCAAAACAAGCCGTTAAACAACACTAAGTCTTTATATAGATAGCTGAAAAAAAAGACTATTAAAAAAATTGCACTCTCACTATAAAGATCAACAAAAACATGGGAAAAAATGATAAAATTTATTTATTTTATCTCTAATTAACCGTCAGTAATTTTGATTTTTGAATAAAAATATTGAAATCTAACAAAGTTTATTTGTATTATATAAATTTTCTTTTAACTAATCAAAAAAAAAACTTAATCATTAAAACGTATGAAATTTTGTAGAACTAAAATTTAATATAAAATAGGAGGCTATTTTTTTGGCGATAATAATAATATTAAAATTTCAAGGGTATAAACTAAATTATCTTAATTATTGATTTCACTTAATAGTGTCGGGGCATTTTTCGTAACTCCTGATAACATTTACGAACTCAGTAACCGTGGTTATCGTTTTGGGTTGATGCCGCACGTATACATGCTTCAGGTAATTGAATTCATCCTTGATCAAATATTATAATTTACTATAAGGCTAGTTCTAAATACTTAATTAAAAAAATAATATATTTTAAGGATTGAATATAAATAACACTATCAGATCTTTTTTAAGAGCTATATGTTTAATAAATAATCCATGTGACAAAGCTACTATAATATATGTGCGTCTTGGTTGATGTTTTTGCATCAATATTATACTAATAATTTTTTGGGGTCAGGCAGGTATCCATATCATGAATCATGTAAATAGCTAATTTTACCTAAAAATATGTAACTCTATTTTCTTAGCTAAAGTAACTTTCACCCAAAGTATTGGCTAAATCTATGACCATTTCAGCAAAAAAAAGATGAAAGATCATGAATTTCTTGTTTTACGTCCGTCCCTCCCTTTAACCTTTTCTCCTCACTGCACTCTCTCATCTCCTTAGATTGAAAGATAAGGGGAGGAACCTTAGATGCCGATATAGAGCCTTCGTCGTTAATGAGTTCGTCCAAAAATCTTTGATCCTCGTGCAAATTTGAAACGGCATCTATCCTGAAGCCATCCACACCAAGATCGAGCCAGAATCTTAATACTTTCTTTTTTTTATGATAAAAATGAATTATTACGAAATCGAAATATTATTAAAAAAATTCTTGATTCCAAAGAGCTTTATGTATTAAAGTGGGTATAAGGAAAGTGTAATTATTGCCAAGTTGGAATCGAAACCTGAACAAATCTAAGAACCGTAACACCGGAAACTATTTTTAAGATGTCTAGAAGACTGGAAGATCCTATTTAAAATTTTCAAAGGGTAATTTATATAAATTGATCAAAAATGTTGAGAGTTTCATTTTAAAGGGTTTTATTAATTAAATTAAATAATATTTTTTTTCCCCATTGCTTTAAGCAGAATTCAAAGCCGGAATCTCTGTAATGGCGATAAATTTATAAACCAGAACCTCCAATCAAATTAAATACTTTTTTTCGTTTGAATTTAAAAAAAAATATTTAAATCTATAACTAAAGCACTTTCTACTAGGAAGTTCTATGTGAGGAAGAAAGCAAGACTTTTAGAAGAATAATTCTCATGTTTTATTTAACGCTTCTTGAAATCGTGAAATATGGATATAAATATTATCAATCTCATGTAGAGATAAGTTCAAAATCGCATCAATTGATACCTTCATTTCTTCTATAACTTTAGGATTTTCGAAATTCAAATCTGGTAGTTCCTTCAAAAAGGCGTGGTAGTAAAATTGGTTCCTCTGAGAGTTCCATGTCCAAGCCGAACCTCCGAATTGACCAAGCTGTTTATTTTTTTTGATATTATATAAATAAAGGTTAAATTACAATTATATTTTTTCAAACAGGCCCATCACTATTTATTTTTCTTTCTTTCTTTCTTTCTTTCTTTCTTTCTTTCTTTCTTTCTTTCTTTCTTTCTTTCTTTCTTTCTTTCTTTCTTTCTTTCTTTCTTTCTTTCTTTCTTTCTTTCTTTCTTTCTTTCTTTCTTTCTTTCTTTCTTTCTTTCTTTCTTTCTTTCTAACATCAGTTTTTAATTTCGATCTGACCCTTTTTAAAAAAAAGATTCGAGTCCTATTCAAACCCAAAAAGGCTGAAGAAACGATATTGGACAGATTAAAACATGCACCTGAAATTTCACATTATGAATTTATAATATGCTTCATTTTACTTTTTCCCATCTTTTAATATACCATACATTTTTTTCCAAGAATACTTTGCAAGTTTATAATATTTTTGTGCATTTATTATATAGTGAGTCTCATACGACTATTATATACATTGAATATCTTATCATTTAAATTATATTAGTATTTGTGTATTAGAATTGCCAAGAATTTTTAGTCACTAGTCCTAATAAATTTCTGAAATAGAAATAATCTAAAATAACTACTAGAATAATTCTAAAAAAAATTTTTAATTATCCCCCTCCCCTCTGCCAGAGGCAACCTGCGTATACTCTTGGAACTAAATATGTAATATAAAATTATGCCAGCAATATTTATTATATTTTAGGCAAGGAAACGGCAATTCGAAGCGGAGGGTCTATTGAAACAAGGCATTACCCAATTGTTAGGTGGGCCCATTTTTCCGTCATTCATCAATTTTCCGTTCTTCCAAACGTAGTAATCCTTGTACGGATCTATCGCCTGGCAACTCATGTTAAACCAATTGTGCTCCCTGCTCGTATGGTTGGGAACGAAATTCATTATTATCTTAATATCTGGAGAATCGTTTTCAAAATAAATATTTAACTATAAATCCATCTTTTTTATTTTTTGAAAAAAAAACCTATATTGAGAATATAAATTCTCCCCTCTCTCATTATACCCAATTTTTATACCACAAAATGGACGATAGAATTAAAATGCCTAACTTCTGTTATGAGCTTCAGCCACGAGCTCTTTAAAATCGTGGAGGTCGCCAAACAAGGGATCGATATCCACGAAATCGGCTATGTCGTACCCAAAATCTTTCATGGGAGATTTGTAGACTGGTGTCAACCAGATCGCGTCGATTCCCAGGTAGGTGAAATAATCTAATCTCGATATTATACCTTTTGGCAAGTAAACACAAAATGTAAAATTAAATTAAGTTCACATATTTTTTTTTTAAAAAAAAGGTGCTATTTAAGTTAAAACTTGGCTATACTACAACCTAAATAAAGTTAAAAATTGCCAAACGTGCTTCTTTCATATAAATCTATTGATTATTTTAAATGACTATATACCTGTGTTAATTCATAAATATAGCAAATCACATAATATTTTTACTCATTTAATTAAACTCAAATTGGAATGTTTATTAATATTTTAAAATAGTTCTGGGGTAAAAAAAATTTAATATTGAAAAAACAATTTCCCAAGAGATTAGCAAAACAGAGATAACCATTTTCGGGCTCGGCGATATTTTACGATTGTAAGAATGAAATAGCATTACATTCGATACTCTAGCCTTTAAAAAAATTTTCCTGCAGTTTTCAAATTTCTATTTAAAAATTTTGACCTAGCAACCTTAGTGTTCGGTCTTTCATCATATAAAAAATATTACAGATTAACACTCAGATTCTTGGTAGTAAATTCTAAATTATTTTTTTATAAAACATTTCTATATTTTATTTCCAGAAAATAAAATTAAAAACTTTTCTGAAAAAAAAAATGGAAGCAAACTATTCGAATATTGAGCAGGGTTATCAAAATTAAATACAATTAATAAAATAGGGATGGATGAGTTTGTAAATCTGAAGGCCTTGTATTTGACAATTGCAAAGAATAATAACATATGAGATGCATTAAAAAAATGGCTAGGTATATAAATCTTCTGACCGCATATGTTACAACGAAGGGATAAGCAAAATTACAAAATTTATAAAATAATCATGGCCCTGCCAAGAATGCCATGCGTAATCTTAAATGATAATTGATCCGTCATCTACGATATCTGCCTAAATCGGTATGATTTTTGATGCCAAAATATTCTTAATTTATCATATCTTAGTCTTATAATAATAACTATTCCTAAATAATTTAGGGAAATAAAGCATAAATTTTGATGAATTTAACGTATGTTTTATAACTATCCCAAAAAAAATAATTCTTGCTACATACTACATATAAGTTCAAAAAAAAAACCAAAATAATAAAATTAAAAAGTAACAAATGGTATAATGTATTACCAAAACTTTTCCTAACATAAGAAATATATTACTGGTAAAAGCTAGTTCATAAAAATAAATTAATAAAATGGCGGATACAAAAATCAATTATATAGCCAGTATGAATTTTACACATTTGGATATAATATATATGAAACATAAATGCTCAATTTAATCGTGAAAATTGAGTGATACAATAATTTAGTTTAGTCTTAGTAGAGAATTAAGTTTATTCGAAGAACTAATTTTAGTAATTTCTATTTTTCTTTTTTTTTAAATTAATTTTTTTATACTATAATTCGGATATTTCTGTTTGTACTTGTAATATAACTAATTTTTAAGAATTAGAAGAGGAAAACTATTCTAAAAAATAACTACTACTACAAATATGATCAAAAAAAAGAGAAAATATTGAAATTATAAAACATAAATAAAAATGGCATTTATATAATAATGCATTATCATAACTTTACTAAAAAATAAAGTGTTCTATATTTAAAATAATAATAATTAAAAAAAAAAAAATAATCAAATGGCGGATATAAAATCATATCAATTTATAACCATTATGAATTTATATACTTTAAATAATTATATAAAACATGCATACCAATAGGCATATAATAAATATTTCATGTTTTCTAAGTAAAGTTAAATTTAGCTTAATTTAAGTTCACACTACAGATTAATCTTAGTAATTCCTATTTTTACTTTTTTTAATACTATATTTCGTATAATTCTGCTTATAATATAACTAATTCTAGGAATTAGATGCTTTATGTATAATTTTATTAATTCTGATAATAATTTTACATTTAACAAACTATCTAGCATCTATGAGATGTTTAGATATCCCAAGAGACAAAAAAATGGAGTAAAACATTACAAAAGCGTGTCCAACAAGATGAAACTTTGCCATCAACCATTAACAGATTTTGTGGACCCACCCACTCCGAGCATTCTTTCTAAAATATTTTAAACAATGGGCGGGCGATGGGAGGGTGAATTTAAATATTTTTCGGGCTAAATAAGCAGAACAGACTTCTATTTTATTAAAAAATCATTTTTTTTATTTCATTATATAGCATATTTTATTTAATTAAAAATACATAGAAATTAAAAATTAACGAGCCAAACTATCCACTAAACACTAAAATATTTTTTAAACATTGGGCTATGTCGGGTTAAACAATTTGCCCATTGTTGGACCTATAATTTACATTGCCTCAGGAAAAATATATATCATATAATAAACTATTATTTCATTTTATAATTTATTATATATAGCCAATAAATGATACCCATATTATATTAATTGTGAAATTTATGTAAAATAAAAATGTAAAATTATTATTTATACAGGATTAGAATGGCTTTAAAAAAACTAAGAATTCCTATAAAAAAATGTTTTTAATGTGTAAATAAAATGTTACTATTTATAATAATATTATTTAAATATAAACCTTTCAAATCCCCGATTCCATCCCCATTGCTATCTTGAAAAGATCTTGGATATACTTCATACATTATTGAATGTTTCCACCATTTATCAACATTACATGTCTTTTTAACATCTTCACTGGTAGTGGCATTTGAAAATATAATTAACCATATTGAGAGAAGGGCTACCAACAATGCAATACGTGATCTGACCCAAAAAGGTCTTTTACAAAATAAAAGTAACTCATCCTTTTTCATACCAACATATGGTAAGAGCTCAGTAGAATTAACACTGGTGCCAATCTGTGATGATATTCTTTTCATTTTTATTAGAAAATTTAAAAAAACGAAAATATTGCCATATTTCCAAAATTCGTGTAAAATATTTTAAAAAAATGTTATTTATATTTATTAATGTAAAAAAACACAAATGTTATTTTTTTAATGATATTATATAGATAAGTTAGTACACATATATGATATATGTAAATTTGCCCTGGTAGAACCATGAATAGACAATTTTTTTTATATTCCTGCAAAACTTGCATATAAATCTAATTTAAATGATTATTTTATCTCTTTGAGCTAAAGATATAAAAACTTTTGAAACTATAACCGGAGATGGATTTCTCGAGTTCAGCTAGGCTCTAATCTATTGAGGAAAAGTTTGGGCAAGTAGATATTAAATCACTTATATAAGATAAAAATGACAAAATAAGAAATATTTTCGTTAAAAACATTACTCCGATAATTGAAAATCGATTTACGGCTGCTTCCACTAATATATAGAGCGGCGATGATAGTGTTGTTAAACGGCTCATTTTGAGCCGATTTTTAAAAACTGCTAACTCAATATTTTGGCCAGAAAAATATTGCCTAAGCCTCGATATTTCGCTAATAGATGTCCAAACCTTTAATGAGATGCATTTAATGATGGTTATATGAATAGTAATGCACCATCAAAAACCTATATTAGTATGTAGAGGTCTGCTGGAATTCAAAATACAATATATGCTTTCTTTATTCTTATTCGTGAGACGAATAAAACGGCGTCCTCCTGTGGATAAAAAGGTCGCATATCTTTATTTTTCGTGAGAGAAGTGTCAAACGGCCTCCTCCTATAAACGAAAAAGCAGCATTTCTTATGGAAACTTCGTAATAAAGATAATTTCAACGTCATCCTCATATGAACAAGCCGCATTTAAGATATTGGTATTTTAGTCAAAATTTTATAGATAATCAAGATAAGTGGAATGTTTAAATATTTAGTTTTGAGTTAATGAAAAATGTTCACATTTATCATATGGTCATGTATTCAATCACTCATAACACTTGGGTTTAGTAATGGGTGGCGTGCTGTAGTTTACATTTTTTTAATATATATGTTATTTGATAAAGTGATTCATTTTAGCAGATGTATTATTTCTAAAATAGCGGATTTTTTATATTTACTATTACATTAAAAAGAAATTGTAAGGATAACTTTATTATTTTTTTATAAACTTTTGATATTTGAATTAATTTTAAAAAGAACAAAAGAATAAAAAGTGTATCATATTAAATTATTTAAAGATATCGCCATCAGCAACGATACTCCAAAATTTAGAATAAAATATCCCTCGTTTCTTTGATGGTTTTCTTAATGGTTTTTTAACCTTTATGAAATATTGGTTATGAAATAAAAGATTATATGGCTCCTAATAATTTAATATACTAAACAGTATTTTTATGTTATAATCAAGTTCGTCATTTTATAAGTATCATATTAATAGTACAATTAATAGTCGAATTTATCTTAATTAAAATAATAATTCAATATAGATTAGAGTAATTAAAAGAGGTATGCCCACCCGATTGGTCTATGTATAAAATGAAGACTTTGGCGTAAACTTTTTTAAAATAGACTAATCCCATTAGGAGAAAATAAACCAAATATTTATCAAAATAGTCGTTTAGAGAAATCCTTTTTTTTTTAAAAATTTACTTAATTTTTTTTACTTGATTCTTTCCTATTGAAAATTTTGTGTTGTTAAAGATTATTAATAAAATAAATCAAATTTCTTAACTAAAGAATAAATTAGTAAAATATGAATCAGAGTTTTTTATGGCTAGACATATCTTTTTTTAAAATGTATACATGGATATTTTACAAAAAAAAGAATAATGCCTTTTTTTTTACAAAATTTAGCTGCTGCCCTTATTGAAAAAGAAAAGTTATATTTACAATTATAAATTCGACAATGACTTTATCAGTCAGTTTTTGAGAAATATTGGCATGGGCAATATTATTAATCATGGTTTGTGAATTGATTATTTTAGATGTAGTCTCCCCTATACCAAAATTATTAAGATATTTTTCTATCCCTTTAAAACTGTTGGCATGAACATACTTACAAAATAAAAATATTATTAGAATTTAAAAATGATAATTACTTTTAGGCTATTTTTGAGGTTATAATAGCTATTAGATTTATTTAAGGATATATTTTTTTTACATTTTAAGTTTTTACATTAATTTGAAAATATTTTTCAAATTTTGGAAATGGGAAATTTGTATTATTGTTATCAAGAACATTATATTCTAGAATACCTTCCACTTCATCAATATTATTATTGTCTGACTCACTTACATCGATTTCAATAACCATTTGCGATGGCATTTTAAATAATTTACACACGATGATTTAGGTTTATAATACAAATTGAAAATATAAATTACAATTTCAAAATTAAATATCATAAAAATTATAATTAATTATATTCTATTTAACTTTTTATGTATTTAAATTCATTATAACTTTTAAGTATTCAAAAAAAGGAGAGCGCTAAATATATAAATAATTGTAAAAAATTTAGCACGCTATTAGTTAGTTATCGCTACTAAAAAAGATAGGTTATTTTTAATTGTCGAATTCAGTTGGCGAATAGATATGTAAACCGGTAATCCTTTAACTCAAATTTTTGTTTCACGTTTTATTAACATCCAAATCATTCATTAATTATTTTTTTTCTCTTTTTTTTATTGAGAAGTGGTAGAAAATCTATTTATTAAGTCATTAATTTAATATCGGTGAAAACTACCAATTCTGGAAATTCTTCCAATTCTATCATTTATTACTAAAATAATAAAGCCCAATTTTGATGCCTCAAATCAGTATGCTCAATTAAATTATGATCAGCATCATATTGAAAAGCATTATTTAGAAAATACACATCAAATATGCAAATGCAAAATGTCACACAATAGCACAATCAACTGTAGAATTCAACAAAGTACTAAATATCTAAACTGTAATATACACCTTAAAAGGGTAAAATGCATAATAAGTATCATTCTATCACTCTTTTTCTCTATGCTAAATTAAGGCAATTACGTATGTTGCCAGAGGAGGAGTGCAAATGACTGTTACTTAAATAAAATACACTATATTAGACAAGAGGATCAGGAAATAATGGAATTAGATTATCATCGACGAGTCGAAAGTTCACTCCTTTTACGACAAATTTGGATATAAAGATAATGGAGTATTATTTAAAATTTTTTAAAAAATCAAAGCTGTTGAAAAAATTTACATTTATTGACCGAAATTTTAAAAAATTTGAGCCGGGCTGGGCAATTGGTACTACTGCAGGTCTCTTATACATATTCAAGTTTACTTATGATTTAGATGAATTAATATTAAAAAAATAATTTGAAAAGTTGAACATAATTTCACTTTTTGTTAAACTAAGTATTTAACACATTGGTAAAAGGTTTTTATAAAGCTAAGCAGTATAATAAAATGGGCAAAAATCTTAGTCATGATGATGCCCAAATTAGAAATTTTTGGCTGTATATATTAGTTTTATTTATCGGTTAAGTCTACAACCGGAGCCAAGTCTTGGATCGAAATAATCTATCCCAAATTGACTCGAGTTGTGAACTCAGTTCCTAAACAGTAGTTATGAACTCGAACTCTAAGTAAGTTAATTATTTTTATTTTCGTTATTTTATATATAGATAAAATTAAGAATGCGGGAATATTTGCTTATATTTTAGTAAAAACCCTCATTATTTTGAATAAACGCCGTTTTTTTCGGTAAAAGCCTTGATTTTTTATTGTAAACTAGATTCGTTTGATTCATCACTAAAATCGTATAAAAATATCTAAATAATTTAGATTTCGCATCTTTATTTAACCAATCATTTAGCTTTGTCAAAATATTTTTTTATTTACTTTACTCGAATGAAAGTAAATATAGATATACAAAATAGTGAAAATATGCAAACTAAAATTAAAGGCTGAAAATTATTGCCGAGGTCTCGAAATTTCGATTTATAACGAAAGTTGAAATTTTAGATTGTTGATGAAGAATCCATAATTTGATTTATTAGGGAGATGATATCTGTGTAGAGATCTAGAGAATAGCACTTTAAGAGGCTTTCAATAAAAAGAAGTTAAATGAAATGCTGGCATAAGGGTGAATCCCTATCTTGTGTATGGAAGATAAAAACAAGGAAATAATTGGAGCGTTTGACTTCCATTGGTTAAGAGCCAACCTCTAAGGATCAGTTGTGATGGTGAAATTGCTGATAAGCCATATATTTTTTTAAAGTAAATAAAAGTTTCAAATAAAAATTTTTTTTTTTAAAATTTACTTTATAATTGATGATTTTTTTTTATAAGAAAATTCACTATATAAATTTAATTATAGAGCTTTTCAAAATTTATTGTTTTTCAGCTTTAAATCTTGTACTTATTTAGTTTTATCCCTGTTGGTGTTTTTATTCTATCAATATAAAATCAAATTATTTTTTTTATATTTATACCCTTGTCCGCATTTATACATTTGCTTTTGGAGAAAATTGCAAGACTTTCTAACTTATCTTATTTCTTTATATAATAAAGAAGCAGATATAAAATTTTGATTCATTCCCTGATTTATATAAAGTTTAAAGCACTTTGTTTAAAACTTATTAAAGTACGCTAAAATTACATAAGCAACAATAAAATAAAATATTAGCATTGGGACGAAACTGTCATAGGTTGGAACATCTACAAGACAAATTTTTCAATAAACAATACTTTTCAATAATTTGCCACAAATTGATAATCGTATTTTAATTTTAATTTCAAGAATTTTAACTTAAGTTGTTCTTAAATCTAAACAAATTTAAGCAGCATTTAAAAAATATAACCTAAAAATTGCTTTGGGATTATAAAGCATATCAAAGTAAATTATTTTCAATATTATTTTTTCAACTATTTATTAGATTTGATAATAATAATTATAATCACATTAAGTCTTTCATGTATGCTAAATATAGTAATGCATCGAAGAAATATCGTAAAACCCCAAATTTCATGTTTCTCTTCGGTTTGTAAGGTGGGTATAATTCCTTTTTTTTAAATGGAAGGAGAAGAAAAATTTAATTTAAAAAATATGATAATACTACGTATATATTTTTTATATTTTTTAGAATTATGAAACACATTTTACCCTATCCCAATTAATTGAGGCGAAAAATGAATGGGAGGAAATATCATTAAAACCATTTTCTAGATTGCTTCCTAGTCTTTCCTCAGGATTCTGTGATCATAATATATAAAATTGATATTTTAAATGCATTAATTATTTTATCAAACCATATTGAGGAATCCATTCAATATAGAGGTGGCTTCGACTGAAACACGCCATGGACCTGAAAGTATTGCTGAATTAAACAAAAAAATTAAACATGATTACATGTTATTTAATTATAAGTAAAATTTTAAAAATGACTATTTATTAAAAAAACAAAATTCAAAGAAACATTAAAAGTGTAATTTATTGAACCCTGGTAGTAGCGAGAAGTTGCTTCATCAGACCCTAGTAAATCGACAGGGCCAATTAGTAGTTCATAGAGAACAACTCCGAAAGAGTACCAGTCTACGCTAAAATCTTTCATAAATAATATAAAATTTTTAAAGAATATTTTTATCTAAGAATAAATATTTGGTTTATTAAAGTTTTTAAAGTTAAGTTTAAAAAATATTAAAAAAAAATAATATTCCATATTCGAGATAGATATACATAAATAAATAACATGCTTACCATAGTATTCATTACGCATAATCTCGGGCGCCATGTAAGTATTTGTCCCACAGAATCCTTTAACCATTTCATCTTTTGCTATGCCCTCCTAATTTAAGTAATTATGATAGATACAAAAATCAGTAATAGCTCGGCTCAACAAAGTACGAATTTTTTCGCAGCATTTAATATAATTTTTACACAAGATTTAATAAGAATTATTAAATTAAGAGAACTAGAACTGATAATTTGTTGAAATAATAAAAGCTTATCGATATTTCTTTGGATTAAATTAAATAGTACGGTTTCATTTTCAAATTCTTTTTTAAGGAACGACAAAATGTTTATAATATTCTAATAATTTAAAAAGAAGTTTTCATATTTTGGTTTCTACATATATATTTTGTTTCGTGGATCCAAGTATTTTGTACCAATTTTAAATTCTGAATTAAATAAAATTATTATCATATCCAGCCATGCGCCAGCTAACCTTCATACAATCAAAGATCGAAAACTACAAAGGATATACCATTTATTTGCATATTTTTAAAATGGATAATGTCGGCATAGGCATTTCATAAATTTAAAAATGATTTCGATATTATTATCGTATATCATGAAAATAAAAATCATTTGTAAGAAAATTCTTTGGGAATTTTATATTTAAAACGAAATTATAAAACAATTTCAATAAATTCTGATAAATACTTTTGTTGGTTGAAAAAGGGTTAGATAAGATAGTGAATATAAAGACTACTTATGTTTAGTTCATGGTTTATATTATCTAGTAACAGGTGGATAGTACTAAAAAAATCTTTGGTTGAAAATCTAATCGAAAGAATAAGAGAGATAATAACTGCTATAATAATATAAAATGGTAGAGGTTGAGTTTGAATCCGAGATAACCAGAAAAAATTAATACAATAGAATAAACACTGGAATTGCTAAATCTTGATAGCACATATCTATACTCTCATATACGTTTAAAATGATTAAAATTACAAAATATTATTTTAATTTAAAATTAGTTATCTTTACAATAAAGGTCTAATGATATGCTCATATATCTGTTGTATATATTTTATTTCTAGCTATATTTAGCTTTTCTTAATAAAATATTGTATATATTGGATAAGTATTCTGTATCATTACTTTTATATTTGTATGCCTATTAAAATTTTTAAAATTAAAAAAAAAATTAAAAATTGTATATTATAAAAATTTTAAGTCAGTGTAACAATTTATGTCACCCAAAATGACGGCTGTTAAAAGGAACGTACCGCTGGCACAAATGTCTATTATCAAATCTTTTCAAAAATAATTATTTTACATACCTTGCAATATACAAAGTTGCCTAGTTTCACATGGCCTTTTCGGTCTAAAAGTATACTTTCTGGTTTGATGTCACGATGAATTATCCCTTAAAAGATAAAAATAAACTTTGTATTTGAATTTCTAAAAAGTTTTTATTAAATGATTGAGTAGAAATTAGCTAAAGATAGAAATTACTTTATCAAAAAGCTAACTGTTGCAGTTGGTATATAAAAGTTACTTAAAAATTATACTTTGTTAAAATTAACAATAATATATAATAGATACAAGAACATGTCATTTAAAAAAAAATTTTCTAAAAACCGTTGTCGTGCAAATATCTTATGGCAATCACGATTTGTGCAGAATAAAATATAGCGTGATCTTCAAGGAGTCTTCCGTATCTTTTTAAAAGGGATCTAAGATCACCCCCAGAAGTGAAGTCTCTCACTATTATATAGCTACGAAATAAAATAATATGAGATTTTAAAATAATTTTTTTGAAAGTTAGCTTATTTAAAACGCTCTTATCATTAAAAGATAGGCGATAAAATTTTCTCTTATGAAATTTGCAAACAAAGAGTCTTTAAAAAAATGACTAGCATGAGGAATAATCAATTGATATATAGAATCCTCATTTTTTAAAAAATATTTGCAGTCATGCTCCTAGCTAAAACTTTTATATTTACATACTTCCTCATTAAATCGGTGATAAATAATAAAAACTTGCGCGGAGTTTGATAAAATGCATAAAGTCCAACCAGGAAAGGATGGTTCTTGTTAGTTTTAAGAACATTTATTTCTGATCGAATACACCGGACGGAAGCGATATTCTATATATAAAATATATGATTTATAATCCAAAATGGAAAAATAGCCTATAATGCAATCACATTAAATTAAAAGATAAATAAATATAAACCTCATATCTATTGAAATATCGTCTGTTGAGAAACTTCAAAGCATATTCTTGGGTGGAATTCCTTAGCTTGACTTTAAATTCCATCCCAAATTCTCCACTTCCTGCGACACCGTGACATTTAAATTCGGACAATTTGGGCTTCGGTCTTATTAGAACTTTATTAATAAATAATTCCGTGTATAAATTAAAAAAAACCTAGAAGAAAAATATATTGGAGAAATAAAATGGTATATAAATTTATACCCCTTTCTTCCCTGGATAAAAAAAATGAAGATTTCTATGCGTAAATTTTAATAATTTGCAAAATATGATGGGCAAAAAGGTTATGAAAAATTAAGATTTTATAAATTCAATTAAACTTAGGGAGAAAAAAGATGTGTTAACTAGTCTAATATTCTAGGGAAATTTGATTACCTTTATAATTTGTCCAGTCGCATATGTTCATTTTGGATTCTCGATTAGCACAAAGACCTAATTCACTATATTTTGAATATTTTGTTTAAAAATTACCATTAATTTCTACAAAAAAAATATATTATATTTTAAATTCTAACTAGACATCTTTTATTTTTTCTCTCTTAATTTATCTTTCTTCCTTTTACTTTGCACAACTATTGGATTAATTAGACATTATGCCAAAAAGAAATTATTTGTTATACGATATGCGATTCGTATTTTAAGATCTCAAATAAAAATATAATATTTTTGAGAATTCGATTGAATACATAATGATAAGGATTCGATCCAATTATTCGTTATAATTCGTTTTGTTAGACTTAATTCATATTTGCACTTTTCAAAATATTTTAAATTATTTAATTTTCAAAAATTCCAAGAATGGAATAATAGTTTTTTAAATTCATTCTTCAATCGCTTTATTTGCTAACCTTAAAAACAACTAAATCCATCTAATTTACTTGAAATCCAAAGGTTTTAATCTATATTGGCGTTGTCCGCTCTTATCGTCATCCCCCATGCTAATATCGGGAAAGGTATCTTTCTTATTGTTATTAAGTTTCACCCATTTTTGTTTGTCTAATATGATACAAATTATAAGCATATCTATAATATTTATTTTACCCTCTTTATGAGCCGCTGGAGATTTCTCTTTGTGTTTGAGGCAACCCCTTAACAAATTGGCATCTTTAAGATTTGTGTCTGGAACTATCATCGCATTGATATTGCTAATGTCATCATTAACATTCGTTTCTCCTGCTCCTTTCAGATCAATAGATTTTTTCTTTACCAATTTTTCAAAGAACTGTCTAATTTTTCTCTTTTGTTTAACTAATAAAATTAAATTAAATATGTCTATAATATATATAACCTTTTTTTAAAGGTTGCTTTTCACATTTTTTTTTATCACCAAATAAAAGTTTCATCATAATATTTTCCATGTTAGATTTCACAAATTAATTTTATATAAATGATATAAGACGAATATTTGCCTATACTTAAATGATATTGATTATTGAAAGATATACTGATTGTTTAAACAAAATATTGCTAAAATTTGTTTGTTGAAACCTCTTATGACTTAATAAAATTATTCATAAACCAAAATAAGATATTGGAACCTGCAACCCGAGAAACTGGAAGAACCAGAACCATAAATTATTTCATAAAACCTATATGAACCATAGCAATCTGAACCTATCTTACAATTTCTAGAAACCCTTTCAGGATTCGGTTCTAACAAAACTGCAAATAATTAAATTTCAGCATATTTTTTGTAGTATTGAGATAAATAAAAAGATACTCGATTTCTCGTATCATGTCAATTGAGCTAATCTTTTATAGCGAGATACTTTATAGCGAGATACTTTATAGCTAAAAATTTATAAATACATGTTGTGTTTATTGAGAAGGAATTTTAAAATGAACGTAATATCGTCCAAACCAATTGAACGAAATTCTTTTGTTAAACATTTATCTCGAAAACATATCTCTAACTAAATCATCTCTAATTTATTTCCTCGAAATTTAAACTTCGAATACTTGAAGCGAATATAATTTAGCCATATTTTTACAAATCCGTTATAACGAATATTTTTCTTCAAATATATACGCGCAAAGTTATCATATAACAATACCCAAACCCTTATTAAATATTATTGAGCCTCATCCTCCCTCTATTAACACAGATTTTCTTGAAAGATTTTTTTAATGGAAAAAAGGACCCACTTTAACACATCTACCAAATAAATCTAGAAACCTAATTTCAAATTTTGTTATTAAACTTATCACAAAAGTTAATGATAACTTAAATTGTTTAAAATCATGGGAAGACTTATTAACCTTCTCTCACAAATGTCTTATACGTCCCGCTAACAAAGAGACCCCATTACATGAACAAATCAAACCTTTATAATTTTGACACTATTCAAATGATTAACTACAATCATAATGTTAAAAAGCAAGTAGATGATATAACACACAAATGCAAAATAATATCAAATCAAATAGATCAAGGTGACATAGGTGGTGCAATTAAACTCATATCCTCAGATAACCATCTTTCTCCTATCAATGAAGAAACATTACAACTATTGAAACAACTACATCCTGAAGCTTTTGTACAGATAATCTACGCATCTCTCCAATCCACCAGACTGTAATTTTTATCAGTGATGAAATAGACAATGCTATCAATTCTTTCAATAAATACTCAGCAGGTGGTTTTGATGGTTTCAGACCCTCCTATTTTCAATACTTAATTAATTCAAAAAATCCTTCCCATAGTTCTGTCATCAAGGTTTTAACATTGTAATAATATAATAAATAATGATATTCCAATACAAACTCACCAAATCCTTGGTGCACGTCTAATTGCTTTATCTAAGCCAGATGGTTGTACCCGTCCCATTGCAGTAGGCTCCTTTTTCAGAAGATTAATAGCCAAAATCATAATCGAACACATCAAACATGATGCTGTCAACATTTTAAATTCTTATCAAGTAGGTTTTGGGATCAAGGGTGGCTGTGAAATAGCGGCTCATACCTTAAGAATTTACTTAGAAAACCCATCACCTGATTCTGTAATATGTAAACTAGATTTCAAAAATGCCTTCAATAGCCTGCATCGTACCTCATTTTTAAAATTCTTCTATGAAACTTTCCCTGTTATTCTAAATTTATTGAATCCTCATATGGTTTTCAGACACCTTTAACATATGGATCTTATCAGATTTTATCCCAAGAGGGCATCCAATAAGGGGATCCATTAGGACCTCTTCTTTTTTGTTTTGGAATCCATCATCACATCTACCAAATTAAACAAAATTTCAACCTAGATCTTAATCTATGGTATTTAGACGATGGGACCATCTGTGGCCCTTCAGCTAATGTACTAAGCGCCTTAAAACATCAATTCCCAAGATAATAAGATTATGTTTCTTAAACAATAAGCCACAAAAGTTGGAAGGCTACAAAATTATTGCTCCTGACAGCTTAACCTTACTTGGGTCCCCATTAGCTAATGAGATCAAGTCGAAAGATTTTCTCCACAAGATTTTTAAAAGCTTTTACAGTATGGAGCCACATTCTAAGTCTCCTACCAGCTCATCAATTTTTATTTTTAATTCGCAAATGCCTGTACATACCTAAATTTATGCACATTTTCCGATCATCATCTTTTTTCAAAAACAATGAATTCATATCAAAAATTCAGAATAAATTTAAAATATTTATGGAAAAATTTTAAACATAAATTTAAACTCATACAATTAGTCATTTGCTCAGCTACATTCCAAACTAAGCGTTGCCGCTCAATCTTTTATCCTTATCATCATTCGTATCATCTAGATTATCTAACAATTCTATGATTTCTGGCTTCATATGCCCTACCGATCGTTTATTAGATGTATTGACAATTGGAAGGCAAACACACCCATTATCTGTATTACCATCAATCATCACACACAAAACATTTTTCACACCTTTAATTTCGAAATACCAAACAGATATATCAGTCAATCCACCTTTAGATTGCATTCAACTCCTTCAATTATCTGACAGACTTAGTGGTCATGAATGGTTAGAATCACTCCCTTGTCGCAACCTTGGTAATCTCTTATCAGATTAACAACTGAGAGTAACCATTGGTTTGGTTGCGATATAGTACAGCCTCATGCCTGCATCAAATGCAAATCACCCGTTGATTCAACAGGTAGACATGGCTTAAATTGTATTTTTAGGCAAGGGCGACATCAACGTCACTCAGCTGTAAACCATATAATAAATAGAATCTTAACAGCTGCACATTCCTTTATATATAACAATATTCTATTTGCTTTATTATTATCATTATTTATACCAGAATACAAACAAAGGAAATACTATTAGAAAAAAATATTTAAAAATGTGATATCCAATATACATTATTATGTAACATTAATCGAATATTAAATTTATAATAAATGACATGTAATATAAGAATTATATAGTCAAATCTAATATATAAAATTAAGTAAATTAGTTATTCATATTAGAGTTTTCGTATTTTAGTCATGGCCTTATTTACCGCAATTCGTAGTTTAGTTATAATTTAACATTAGTTAGAGCAATTCGTAGTTTAATCATTTTAATTTGACATTATATACGGCATACGTAGTTTAGTCATTTTATTTAACATTAAATACGTCAATTCGTAGTTTAGTCATCCTATTTTACAGCATTTTATCATTAGATACGGCAATTCGTAGTTTGGTATGGCAATTCGCAATTTACCTGGCCGTATTTTTTAGCAATTCGTATTTATTAGCAATTCGTATTTTTTAGCAATTCGTATTTAAGTCATGGCCGATTCTAAGAACATTTCATAGTAACTCGTATTGGTTATTCGATTATATTAGCTCCTTATTTCGGCCTTTTGCTCCCTCAGTATCCATATTCGTTTTACATTTGCAGAGTCTACATGAGTATGGGGGTGAGGGCTGAAGTAGTATACTTACTTTTTTGAAGGGGGGGGGGCAGGGGGACTTCTTGGAGGGGTTGGCTAGGGGTAGGGTAAATATTTTAAACGTTACGAATTAAATTTTTATATAAAATAGGGAAATATATTGCTGTAAAGATTTATTGAATACATTTTTTATAGACCTATATATTATACACAAAGATTACCATGGTCTTCTCTTGTATTGAACGAGGCTTTTTAGGAGGGCGGAATGATTTTTTTATCTTGAACCTAAAAATTAAGAGGCAGAAAAATTAATTAAAAATTGCTGACCTTGATGGCTATCAATATACGATTCAAAAAAATATCTTAAATTAATTAATTTTTTTATTTATAAAAGTCATATTATTACTAAATTCCATTCTACGGTTTGGAAATATTTATGGAATAGAATTTGATAAAATCCATTTGATGGATGCCACCCCAGTCGTTCTCTAGGATCCTATAATAAATTAATATTTAAAAAAAACAATTTTTAAATATAAAAATAGTAAATCAAATAAATATGTGGTATAAAAAAAATAATTTTTTTTTAGAACTTTGTTTAAGAATCCTGTTAGAATTGAGGTGGCGTTAACTGATACGTGTTCTGGAATAGAAATTGGGTCTTCAAGGATAGCTAGAGAATTTTTAATAATTTATTATAAATTTTTAAAAAAGTCATAGATTAATAATCAAAAAGCTTCGCCAAGATTTTACTAATTGGGGTTGGGGACACTAATAAGTTTTTTATTATCCTAAATTTTATTGAACATTTCATTATCTTAAATTTTTTAGATTCATTTTATAATTTTTTTCTAATATAATTAAATTATGTTTTGTAAAGTATATATTATGTATTGTAAATATTTTATAAAAGATAGTTAGGAGGTTGGCGGTAGTGATAAATTTATTATCTAAACTATTATTATAAAGAACCTGGAAATTTTCTAAGAGAAAGAGGTTTTTTTTCATTTCCAACCCCCTTCCATGTTCAATTAATTATTATTTTATTTCTTTATAAATAATTACAGTATAATTTCAAACTTTTAATATAAAAATAATTTATATTATTAAATTTTTTCAAAAAAATGAAAAATTAAAATTAAATTGAACCTTTGAAGAGCTCTTCCCTATTATCCTTCATGCCGTCAAAAGGTGTTAGGCCTGTAAGCATCTCGTACATAGTTATTCCCAAAGACCACCAGTCAACTCCAAAACCTTTCGAAATTATAATAACTTATATTTTCATCAACATATTTATTAACTTTCAATTATCGAAAAATATATATTTTTTATATATTTTATCATCTAAATAATAAATATGGGAGGGAATCGAATCCAAGTATAATTATTATCAAAGCACAGCTTGTTTAATCTGTGTAAGAAGGAGCGTTTCTGTTTATGGTTATGTAAAGATTATAGAATCATATTAGTTTCCGGTTATTAGATCTAACCTTTTTTCCTGATTTATAATTTAGTGTTTTAAATCCCAGTCTTATAAATCAATAATCCCTTATGGAAGTAGGGTAACTAAAAAAAATAGCAGGCTTACTATAATCATCACCCCGTAAAATTTCTGGAGCTACGTATAAAGGTGTCCCACAACTGGTGTTTGTTGTCATACCCATCCGAATGCCTTCCTAAATTATATTAAATACATATAAGAAAAGGCCCTACGTTATGTAATTAGCTAAACCCAAATGGGTTATTTTCGCATTTTAATAAATCTAACACTTGTTTTAACCTAAAGACTATAAAACGACTGTGATTTAAGGATGTATGTATATATAATTAAACTACTTTCTTTTTTTAGGTTAATTTGGACTAAATAATATTTGTTAATTATATTATTTATGCAATTAAAAGGACCTTAACAAATATTCTGAGATAGATCCTCTTTTGTTTGATATAAGGATTTATAAAATTGGCAACTAAAAATTTTAATAGATTGATTTTATTTTGTAATATTTTATTTTCTATATTCCTTTTTATTGAGTTTGCCGAGTTCATTTTTTATTTTAAATTATATTTTATTAAAATGATTTTTCTTAAATACGTATAAATAAGAAAAATGAATCAGAATTTTTTGTAAAAATCTCTTATATCTTTAGAAAATCGTTGTTTCTTTTTCTAAACTCCGGGAATAACCATTTTATCATTGGTTCCCTAAGATTATAACTATTTACCCCTAGGACTTTAGTATTATAAAACTTTCATCTATATATCCTCCTATCTTTGATTTATATCGCTAGATTTTTCAAAATATATAATGCTCTTATAAACTTTATTTTTCATCATTGAATGGCTAAATTGCATATTATATAAATAATTATAACATTTTTTATTATTATAAAATATTATAAGATTTTTAAAAATATAATTAATTTGATGCGTATTTCTTTCCAAAGTTCTAAAATCGGAACAGAACTATTTAACAAACATGAATATGAAAACAAAAAATGCAATATACAATTAATTAAATAAAGTCTAAACAAAATAAAAATATTTATAGAGATTGATAGCAGAGTATATTATATATATAATATAACTGTATAAATTTAGAAATTTTTCATCATTAAATTTTAAAAGGATGAATTAAGTTTTAAAAATTAGAAATAATAGTATCAAAAACTTTCTTTATACTAAAATGACATATATAGTATAGACATTATTTTCCAAAAAAACATTTTGCTATTTTTAGGGGTGTAGATAGAGGTTTTTTTAGTGGGGTGTGCACCCAGTAAAAATCCTGTCATGTAGACACTGTAGATGGCAGAAAGATTTAGACATCTATTAACTAAATTTCTAGGCTTGCATAATATTTGGCTAAATTATTGCTATCCGTTTTTACAAATAGTGTCTTTAACAATACTAATAAAGAATATCATATTTTTACAATAGCACCTAACAAAATGCAATACATAAAAATATCAAAAACCCTTAAATATTCTATTCTATTTAATCAATAATTCAAACACCTAGTAGAAATTTTTTTATCGACAGAATAGGGGTGGAAAAAGTTATTATAAATATTATTCAAGATTGAATATTAGAACTTATTTGCGTTGAGCTTATTTTTCAATAAATTGCTCTGTACTAGATATTTATGTTATATTAAGTCCATTCGATCTATTTTTTAATGTCTACCTCCAAAATAGGTTTTTATTCTCCAAATGAAGAAAATGTTCTCTCATTTATTTTTGTGCTTATTCATATTATTTCCAAAATTTCTGTCAACACCACTTTAAAAAAGTAACATGCTATAGATATAACTACTTTCGAAAAAAATTGCTTCGCAACTATTTAACTATTTTCCAAAAGAACAAGCTGGCTATAATTATTATATATTATTTAAAATGTAATGCAGATATTTTAATGCTATTAAAAACTATATCTATATTTTTTTCTTTAAGTTGAATAAATAAAATATTGCAGTCCCAATTATATATTTTTTATAATCATAAATTAAATTTTAATCAAATTTAAAATATAATAATAATATTCCATAATGATATTAATTATATATAATTATAATTAATATATTTTGTATTTGCTTTTAAGAGAATATATCAAGTTTATATGAGCAAAGAACATTTTTTCACAAAAAACATTCTTTGTTATGAAACTTACCTTTTATAAGCTTATAATTTTGTCGCTCCTATTATTTCCCTTCATTCCTGCTGATCAACCCCGTATCTATATTATATTTTAATTAAAAATATGTCTCATGATTTGTGATCCATCTCCATTTGTTACTCATCACTATTTTTGATTCATGGAAATTTCTGATTCCGCGCCATTTGTTATTCCGAGGCTACAACCGCCCCCCCCCACGGTCGAAGGCCGGGCTAAGGTATAGTCCTATTATATTTATGATTAAGAATAAAATGTAATCTTCCGAGATTAAATAAATAAATGAAGGAAGTGCGGATTTGTATAATTTTTTTTAAATATGTCCATTGTATTTATTGAAATCATAAATAAAAATATATTACATTCATCGTTTTAAATTATTAATTAAATATTTTTAAAAATTAGCAAAATAGGTTGTTATCTTTTGTTATAACTCAATGACATATAATAATGCCATTGTTATAACTACTCTTTACCCAATGAAATTTTCACGAATATTGGGGTTTAGTATCTAATAAAATATAGTTATATCAAATATAACTTGAACTTTCATCTTTGCAGCATAGCCCTAACCTAAACGCTAATGGCTACAGAAGGTACGAAATAAAGTTTTAGTTTGAACCTTGTAGTTCGGTAATAACGAAATCTAAAAAATTAAAGAATTTCTTATATTCCTATAAACATCTTAGTCCTTATCTTTGTAGCAAATTTAATAATTAAAACTAACCACTAACGCGGTCTATTACCAACTATATCAGGTTTAATTTCTATTAAAATATAGCAATCTTAAATCAATCCTGACTATCCATAACAATTCACTATGGGGAAAAACATATAAAGCTCGGGTAAACTCAGGTTAAATTTGCAGTTTGCAGTATCATAAAAATCTTATGCAATTGGAATTAAACCAGCCTGGATAGATACTCCCCAGAAAAACTGTAAGCCAGTAACCTGGATCATGGTTAAATTTCAATAATTATCAATATTCTTGAGTTTAGAAATCTTAACTTGCAAAATAATTATAAATAATCCTAAAATTGAACAAATCAAAAATATTACATGATATTCAGTTTAAACAAAAGATTTTAACAGAATATTTAGGCAAATGCTAGAAAAAATATTATTTCTCATGTCCATATAGGTTCTTACTTTTATGGACAACAAAGTTTGGTTTGACATCACACCATTGCCCTAAGATACAACATCTATTATAATATATATATAAATCTTAAATATATAAAGGCTATTTTTTTTTATTCTTTACAGATGATCGATGTTTACAACCTATAAAGGTTTTATATTGTTTTTAAATAATAATTACTATATAGCGCTTCTGGCCTCTAGCGTTGAAGGTTCAACAGAGCTACGCTAGGTTTTTCTCATTTCCATCTAATTGGAATAGTTTAATTTGGGTAAGTAAAAATACGAGAAGCCCTCTACACGTTTGTGGGCAAGCCGCAGTTACAAGTAGGCACAACATTCCGAAAAATATTGCTTAAACCCCTATAGGTCTATTTAAAAGGAGTGGGGCAAAAAAAGAGCCTATATTACGAGAGTATAATTTAATTACTTTAATGGTGGGTGATGGCTGATTTTAAGTTTAATTTTTTTAGTGTAAGTTATGATTACTATCAATATTGAGATATAATGTTCATAGAATCTGTAAATAAATATCATTAAAATAAAAAATATTTGCCTGATTCAATCTATACAATACAGTTCTATCACTTCAAATTTTCCCTAAGTTTACCATTTTTTCATAATAATCATATGATAACTTTATAAGGCGCGGTCAAGTTTTTCAAAAAGTTGTAATGGATAAAATTCAGGTTATTCCTTTGGGTATAATATCATTAATTATTATATATTTTATTTTATATTAAGGTGCGGGTCAAGGTATATTTAATTTTAAAATCAGCTATAATTATAAATATAGATGTTGGCCGTAGCTGTATCATTATTACTATCGGTGGAAAGAATGTAATGCTTGATTGTGGAATGCACATGGGTTATAATGATGAGGTATATATATATTTATATAAGTTTGAAATATTTTAATTTAGAAAAAATAAATGATAATTTTTACAATTTAGAATTGTTCAATTTTTAAGACTACATTCACCTACAAATATATACCATGGACATTAACATTTGAAGCTCTTTTTCTATCCTAATCAACAAATGATATATAACATATTTTTAACTAATATCTTGAAAGACATATAACTTTTTTTTAAAACCATCTATTTTTCTAACAGTTTGTTATTTAAACATGTTCTATAATGATTATTTGATAAAATTGCATAGATAAATAGTCTTTCTATAGGGGCAACAATGCTTTTGACTTTTTTATAATAAAATTTATAATTTAATTATTAGTAACTTGAGAATTTATTTTAGATAACTCAAAAAGTTCTAATAAAGTTTGCTGAATATTTACTTTTGATGATTCACTAAAAAAAATTTAAATGATTAAATTGTGTTAATTTAGAAAGTTGTTTTCTCTAAAGGAACAAGATTAATAAAAAGTTATTATTTAAATATACATTCATATATTTGGAAAATTATTGATGGCTTGATTGTAGCCCCTTACTATTTGATCATAGAGTGTACAAGCAGCTCCTGGGGTTTTATCATTTTTATAAGTTATTTAAAAAAATATTGGATTGAATATTGATAATATAGGTTTATCTTCTACTGAATATATGATATTATTTGAAGAGCAATTATTAGATTATGGTCAAAGGTGAAAGTTAAAGATTCAGAATCACTCATTATATTTCTGCCAAAAATATATGAAATATACAATTATCAATAGAATTAAATATAAAAAATATGAATGAATGATTGCAATTATTAAACATTTTTTTATAAAAATTAATTAAATAAGAAAAGGAATTATTATTGTTTATATAAGTTATAACTCATAATTCCTAAATACATGCCTGAAAAATATATTTTGTTATAATTACTCTTTTTTAAATTGTAATTAATTACTAACTTCTTTTTTTAAATTGGAATTAATAACAGTTACTAATTATAAAAAAGAATTATAATTATGGAATTAATTACATAGCCCAACCTTGACTGGTATATCTCTAATATATTAAGTGATTATTTGTTAGTCTAAACTATATCAAATAATAACTCAGTTTAAAAATTTTAATTCAGTTATTACAATGGCGAGATAAACAGTTTTTGATCAGGGCAAGGGATTAGCAGATAGTAAAACCTCACCAGAAACAATACCAACCTTGCTGTAAGATGTATCTGCTATGGTTAAAGAAAGAAAAAAGGGAAAAGAGAATCAATTCTATTTTTTGATTGTATTTTAAATAATTCTAAAAAACTTAAATACGTGATACGTGATAAAAGCGTTTTTGCCCTCTGGTTGTGGATACAACAGAGCTACACTAGGTTTTTCTCAAAAATCCATCAAACTGGATAGTTAATTAAGGGGAGAAAAAAATGAGGAGCCCTTCACACGTTTGTGGGCAAGCCGCAAAACCACAAGCATATCACCCACACCGAAAACTCCCCCCCCCCCCAAAAAAAAAGTACAAACAGGCCAAGAAAAGAAAATACTGGAGCCAAAAATTAATTTAGAAAAATAATCATGCAGAAAAACTAAGTACAAACCCCCTTCTGCTTTACATTTGTGAATTATAACAGAGCTATTGATAATGTTAACCATGCAGCTTTGTCAGAAAAGGGAAGACCCCAACATCTTCCAGATCCAGAAAACCACTAATACATGTTGTGCTTCGAAATCAATGACGAAGAAAATCCCCTACCTCCAAGGTAAAAAGGAATAAAACAAGGCTAAACTCTTGCCACTCCTTAATAAATAAAGATCATAAAAATAAAAACAAGAAGAAACACTGGCAACGACCAATGTAATATATGTAGGCTTCAATTTAGATGTAATGTTTTGAAAAAGTTAAAGACGTTAGATCTAGTTAACTAGCGATAATAAAAGAAAAAAGTTTTTTTTTATTTTTTATTTCTTATTTTCCCAAGAAAAAACAAGTAATCACTTTAAAAACTTATATTTAGAAACAGGGTAAATGTAGTCACAATGTATTTAAGAAATATACTTAATAATGGAAGTAGTTGCAAAGAAGAAGAGAAATTAGAATACAAAGGCGAGTGGAAACTTTTAAATGTATACAAAAAACTTAAATAATAAGATGATTCCCAAAAATTATTTATATTTTTTTTCTGTCCTGTTTATATATTATTTTAATATTTTTCTGCTAACACTAGAATCTCCAAATAAAAAAAAACAAAAAAAGTGTTTATATTAGCACTAAGAATTCTAGAAAACTTGCCCAAGTAACAGCTTCCATTCTTATCCCTCCCCCTATTTTTAAGAGTAACGTGCTACCAAAATCGCCAATCGCTATTTATTAAAAAAAAGTAGCACACTAATAGCTACTATTTTTTAATAGTTACTTTTTATAAAAAAAATTTAGAAATAAATTTGTTTTGCTTATAATGTAATTATATAGTATATAATACATAAAAATCAAAATTCTACCAAAAAAGATAGCTCAATACAGTAGTGAGCTACTTTAACGAAATGGACCATTATAATTTTTAGAATCTTGACCAGCCTTTAAAAGAAATTAACCTAGGCCAGACCTAAAGTTTAAATAAAAAAATTTCAAAACTATATCTTTGACATATTTTATAAAAAATAAATTATTGTATGAGTACCATTCGTCTGCTAATCATGTTCTCAATTTCCACTTTCATTACAATCTATAAAATATATGGATATGACTATTTATATATTAATATGGTTCTAGATACCATTTTTAAATGATAAGTATTTTGTTTATTAGTTACATATTAAATTATATAATTGAACAAAAGGATTTTACTATTTCTTATCTGGATAACAAGGATTTATTGGTTTTATTGAGGAAAAAAAGGCGCGATTATGTGAGGAGGGGGCTCGCATAATTCACGTGCTCTCTTTTTAGGAGGGGTCTTAGACCGGTTAGTGATAATGTATTCCAAACCATTAGCTAAACGATCATATTTTGCAAAAAATATAATATGACTCATTTATTTTAATCGGGATCACGTGATCGAGTCCGATCTATATATCGTCGGCCTAGAATTGGAGTGCTCCACTTGCGCATATGTTTAAAATGAGAAAATCAACATTAAAGTTTAAAATCAAATTTTGGAAAACCTTATTGATCAATTTTGACAGAGATATAACTTTGGCAAAAATTAATATTTTTTAAATCTAGTTTTTATTTTTTTATATATTGGCAATATATAAGTTATTTTCGAAAATATCAAGTGGAGCACTCTAATTCTAGACCAACGATATATCATCCAAGTATAGAACAATCAAGTGGGCTTCAGAAGAAAAAACATGACCCTTACTGGATTCGAACCCAGGTCTATCGGATTTGTAATCAAAGAACTCACCAACTAGGCCATAGACGATATAATAAAGCATCCATTTTTTTTTCATTATTTATAAAAAAAATAAACATATCTATAATTTTATTTAGAGAAGATTCCCAGACTTTTCATTTTTTACCAAATATGGTACACTGAACGATTTCCTGAGCTGCGTTATCATTAGGTAATTTAATCCTAATATAATATTATTTACATGAAATATACCCTTTTTTTTCAGCCATTTCCATTTAGATCATTGTGGCGCATTACCCTATATGACTGAAGTGATAGGATACGACGGGCCAATTTATATGACACATCCAACAAAAGCTATTTGCCCGCTTTTATTAGTTAATTTTTTTAAAAATAGCCTCCCATATATTATTTAGCCACAATATCATCATTTTTAAACACGTAGTATACCTTTTTTTCTGGATAGGTTCTTTCTAAATCGCTAAAAAAAAAATTGGGTATTTTGTTCATATCTTCTAGAAAATTTTTTGAGCATTATGGTTATAATTAAATGGGTTTACTTTCTAAAAAAAAATGGGGGAAAATATCAATATTCCCAACTTAATATTATTAACGATATCTCCCCCATTTTTAGCAATTTAAAAAATATAAATTATTCAATTGGGATATAAATGTTGGATCCACCTATCATCTATTAATGCTTTAAAAAATTTTTCTAAAGAGATATAAGCAAAATATTTCCCAATTTTCAACCATTTTTGTTTCTAGCGGAGAAAGTTTAGACGAGAAGAAGGACGCTATGTTTTTTAAAAATAGTCACTATTACATTGTGCTTTAGATAAAAAAAAAGAAGGAAATCATAGGTCAGAAAGAATCTAAAATTTTTTATGAGAGACATAAGCTAGATTTCCAATTTTCAGCTGTTGTTTTAAGCGATTTACAACCTGAACTATTTTTTTAAATGCCAATAATTAGACACGAGAGTAGTGTTGTTAAACGGTTCATTTTGAGCCGATTAAAACGGCTAACTCAATATTTCATCTAGAATAATATTACGCAAGCCATAAGATTTTGTTTGTAGAAGGAACAAAGGTTTGGACATCTATTAGCTAAATCTCTAGGCTTAGGCAACATTTTTTTGGCTAAAATATTGAGTTAACCGTTTTTAAAAATCGGCTCAAAACGAGCCGTTTTAACAAAGCTACACAGGAGGAAATAAAAATAGTCACTACTCTATATGTTAAAGGGAAAAAAAAATATTTAAACATATGCTAGGAAGATTACAGGAAAATATTGGTCGAAAAAAAGGGCGAAAAAGATATTTTCACGTCGGAACATATTAAATTGTGTATGAAAAAGGTCATCGCGGTAAATTTACACGAATCAATAAAAGTGAGTCTAAAAAAATAAAAAAATTAAATATATGTTTTAAAAAATAAAATAAATTAAATTAAATTCATTATTAGGTTGAAGATGATCTCTACATTAAATCTTATTATGCTGGGCATGTTCTAGGTGCCGCCATGTTTTTAGTCAAATATGGTGAAGCTTCAGTTCTATATACAGTAAAATTACTTTTATTAACTAACCCCGAATTTATAATTTAACGGGAATTCCCGGCCAAGTATGCAAAAATTAATGTGAAACTATTATATTTATATCGTATATTTTGTATACTTCGCCGCCAATTCGCGCTAACTGTGAATTCAGGGCACTTATGCATGCAAATGCTGATGATTTCTTACCCCCTTCATCATATATATATATAATTTTAGGGCGATTTTAACATGACCGCCGACCGTCATTTAGGAACCGCCAAAGTGGACAAGTGTAGACCTACCTTGCTTATAACCGAATCCACGTACGCCACGACCGTTAGAGACTCGAAAAGGTGCAGAGAGGGCGAATTTTTGAAAAAAATACACGAATGCGTCAATAATGGAGGAAAAGTTTTATATTTATTTTTTCCCAAATATTTTTTTGGCTTTAAATCGACAATTTTGATTTGTGTTGACACTTTGAAACACTTGCTTTATAAGGGACGTGAAAAGTGAAAACCGTTATTTTTTTGAAAATCAATTATTTTGTCAATTGATTTAAAAAAGGTGTCAAAATAAAAATATCTCAAAAATTAAATCAAAAAAAATGATGCAAAATTGGGGTGTTTGTCCAAATGTATTTGTTTGTATTGCCATCACTCTTCTTTTCAGGGCTTTTTAGAGGCATTATTTGTAAAATAAATTTTTGCACTCATCCGATGATATGTAACCTATATTTAATATTTAAAAAAAATTGTTTGCTTAAAATATATAGCCCAAATAAATAATTAATACCTCGATGAATTATATTTTTTAAATCGAAATATTATATAAAATATTAATATTTGTAAATTTAAAAAAAAAAAATTATTAAATTAATATGAGATAATCTTTAATAAAATCAAACATTTGCTCATATTAGGTTCTCATTCCAGTTTTCGCTTTGGGCAGAGCTCAAGAGTTGTGCATATTGTTGGACTCCTATTGGGAGAGAATGAATATCAAGGTTCCCATTTATTTCAGTATGGGATTGACAGAAAAAGTGAGTGGCAATTTTACATAAAATAATCTGGGCCTTTTTTTTTTACAAGTCTGACCATATCCGCGGAATCATTTAGAGGAAAAAAAATATAACCTATCCAAATCTGGGTCTTATCAAAATAAAATTTAAAATCAATACCCGGTGACTCGATGTTAGGATCGAATCCGGATTTAGTCATACTAGGCCCTGATATGTGCAATCTAATAACTCGCCATTGTAAAAAAATTTATATTTAAATTTTTTCCTTAGGCCACTTATTATTACAGGATGTTCATATCGTGGACAAATGAAAAAATCAAGAAAACGTTTGTCGATAGAAATATGTTCGATTTTAAACACATCAAGGTAAATTGATAATTTATTATTATTATATTAAATTCTGAGACTCCCGGCTATAAGGCAGACCCAGGTCTAACCGGACCGAAAATGATATTAACCTTGACTGGTCTGAATCGGAAAATATGATAGCCAGGTTGGGTCATGACAATTTAAAGTAAATGAGTACTTCTTATTTAATGTCGTGTTATTTGTTAAATGTAATTTTTACAACAATAACAAATAATGATATTTGTAAAGCCATTCGATAAATCTTATACCAATCTACCCCAGCCCATGGTAGTCTTTGCCACGCCCGGCATGCTCCATGCTGGTCAATCATTAAATATCTTTAAGAATTGGGCACCGGATCCTAAAAATATGGTCATCCTTCCTGGTTACTGTGTTAATGGTAAATTTGTCACCTCATTTTACTTCATTTAAATATATATTATAAACATTTAAGCAAATTTTTGATTACTTAAGACTAGACCTGTGCGCCGCCGGCAATTTTATTCACTCCGGAACAGCCGCCGATTTTTCTTATGGTGGTGGCGCGGCGTGTATAATATTTAGAATGTTGTTTAATTATATTTATATATTATATTATTATTATTTAAATTTGAATATTAACATTAATATAATAAAACATGAATTGTATTCTATTGCTTTATATAATAGAATAGTGTATATCATTTACATTCATTCATACACCATATTCAATTTGGCTATATTAATTATTTTTATGGATTTGCACTTTTTAAACCACCCTATATACAATTATGAAATAACAACTCTCTCTACTAATCAAAAATCAAGTTATGTGTGGAAGTACTTTGGAAATCTTATTTTGAAGAATGAGAATAAGAAAAGCACGATAATGCCTGATTATATTTATTGTGAACCTTGTTTAAAATTGGGGAAAAAAGATGAGGAAGATTCGGATAAAAATATTCCATTTTCACAGTAATTTATTTTAATTTTAGACTTATATTTATATATAATTTATATTTTAGTTATGATATCAAATTTATAACAAAAATATAAGTACGAGTAACCTTTCTCGTCACTTAATTAATGTGCATAAAATATCAGAAAAAACATATAATAATAAATCCATTCAAACTATAAAAATGTTTCTAAAGCCAACGCCAACATGTAGCAAGAATATAAAAGATAAAAAATGGTTCTTAGGTTAGTATTAATGTTTATTAATATTCATTTTAAATTTTTAACTGGTTTGTTAAATTAATTTTATTAAGCATTTGTACAAAACAACTAAAATTTTTTGTTTGTTTTGTCAACTCTTATTTTGAGAACTTTTTAATGTACAAACTTAATATATAATTTATTAAAATAATTATGTAAAACTTTAAAAAAATTAAATTTTTAGTTTGTTTATTGTCAACTCTATTTTGAGATCCAATGTATAAACTTATGTATAATTTAAATTAATAAAATAATTATGTAAAACTTTAAAACAACTAAATTTTTAGTTTGTTTATTGTCAGCTCTATTTTGAGATCTTTTTAATGTATAAACTTATTATATAATTTATTAAAATAATTATGTAAAACTTTAAAACAACTAAATTTTTAGTTTGTTTATTGTCAGCTCTATTTTGAGATCCTTTTAATGCATAATTTAAATTTATTAAAATAATTATGTAAAACTTTAAAACAACTAAATTTTTAGTTTGTTTATTGTCAGCTCTACTTTGAGATCCTTTTAATGTATAAACTTAATATATAATTTAAATTTATTAAAATAATTATGTAAAACTTTAAAACAACTAAATTTTTAGTTTGTTTATTGTCAACTCTATTTTGAAAACTTTTTAATGTACAAACTTAATATATAATTTATTAAAATAATTATGTAAAACTTTAAAACAACTAATTTTTTAGTTTGTTAATTGTCAGCTCTATTTTGAGATCCTTTTAATCATAAACTTAATGTATAATTTAAATTTATTATAATAATTATGTAAAACTTTAAAACAACTAAATTTTCAGTTTGTTTATTGTCAGCTCTATTTTGAGATCTTTTTAATGAATAAACTAAAAATATATTTTATTAAATTATGTAAAACTTTATTTTGAAAGTTCATAACTAAATCAAATTTTTTATTTGTTTCTCTTTTTTAAATATCTTTTTTTTTAATAGGGCGAAATTATGTTTTGATGTGCTGCTTAGATTTATTGCCATCTGATTCTATAATCAATAATGGGATTACAGATTTTCTAAAGTTTAAAATTTAAATAAAATGATTATTAAAAAATAAATTGCCTAAAAAAATAGAAATATAAGATAATTGATTCCTCATCAAGAATTGCCTAATAGGACAACTATTAGTCGGGGTGCACTTGAAGATGTTTATTGTTCTATAAAGGCACATGTTTTAAACCTGATTGATGCTGGTCCAAAATTCTGTTCCATTACTTTTGATTTATGGACCGATGATTTTAAGCGGCGAAATTATATTACATTTAGTCTTCATCATTTAGATGAAAATTTTGATTTAAAATATTTTACCCTGGCAACCCGAAATGTGACTCAAAAGCATACTGGGAACCATATTATCGGAGATTGGTGGTATCGAAGAGGAGTTTCATTTAAAAGCCAAAATAATACAAATGGTAACTGATGCAGGGGCAAATGTCAAAAGAAGCGTCAGATTGGGGGATTATGAGCATCATTTATGCTTAGGCCATGGACTACATAATTTGGTTACAGTTGATGGCATAAAAAAGGTTGCCAGAATTGATAATCTCCTTAAAAAAATTAGAGAAATTATTTCAGCCCTCAGATATCGAGTAGCTGATTTGGAATGTGAAATTGAAGATGACCATCGTAAATGTCTCCAGTCAATTTATGAGACAAGTCATCACTTGGATATTGATGATTCTGATCCATACTTTGATGACCATTTTGATAACGAAGCGGATAATAAAAATTTCATTACACCAACTAATCTATACAAAAACGTTAAAATTAAATTGCCCTACCCGCTGGCACAGCATATTAATAATGCTAGAAAGTGTTCGTAGCGTGAACAAAAATCCTATTAATAATGTTTTGAATAAAATAGGAAAACAATCTTTAAAACATTTTAATAATGAATGGGATATGATTGACGAGCTTTATGCCGTATTAATTCATTCCGAGAGTCTGTGGAATTTCTTTCCTCCCAAGAGGGATCGACTATAAATATAGGGTTATTATTTCGCAGTGAAATAGAAACCCACATACAGATCAATATATCTGATTCCTCAGATATTATTTGTTTAAAAGAAAATATGCAAAAAAGCTTGACCATAGGTTTCCCATTACTGAACTTCAAGTTATTTTATATTTTTATTAATAAAATTATATTTTGAACATTATATATTAGCGACTCTCCTTGATCCCAGATTTCAAAATCTGTAAATTGTGCCAGAATATTTAAATTCAAATTCTACTACATCATTGCAATTTTTAACAAGACATTTAAAACTTTTAGAAAATGATAAAAATGCACAAAGTGAAATCCAAGTTGAAGATAATGGGGAGACTTCCAGTTCTTATATCGCCAAAATAGCTCGTAAACATTCCATTCCAGGCAGTGATTTGAACAATATAAGTAATTTAGAACAAGAATGCCATATTTTGCTAAGCCAAAATAATATCCCAGAAGAGGATGCATTAACCTTTTGGAAGAAAAAGCAACTGGAACTTCCTAGGCTTGCTAATTTAGCTAGGAAGGTTCTTTGTATACCTGCAACCACAACACCCAGCGAAAGAATTTTATCCATTGCTGGATCAATACTCAATGCAAAAAGGACTTCTTTATGTCCCACCAATCTTGATAAAATTCTATTTATTCATGATAATTATAATTTAGCTAAATCTGAATTCTGATTTATTATATTTCTTACTTAATATTTTGTTTGCATTCCAAATATATATTTGTTATAATAAAAATCAATAGAATATTACTAATATGTGTTGTTTATGTGACTGATCTGAGTGAAAATGCAATTCCTTAGTCTATTTCTGAGAATGAGAAAATACATGAATTTAAATTGAAGTGAGGCAGGAAATAATTTAAGAAATAAACTATGTTTCAATGTGTTAGAAAAGAGCGCCAAATTATAAAAAAATGTAATACATTATCCCGCCGCCGTCGCCGACAATTTTGTAGGCGGCGGCGAAATCGGCGCGCCGCCGAACGCCGATAAAAAATTATAAAAAAACCGCCGCCGTCAATTGAGACATCTGCGCACAGGTCTACTTAGGACATAGCCAGTTATTAAAACAGGATAACCTTATGAACAAAAAAAATAATGCAGTTTCTAATCTTATATTTAAAAAATATTTTACCATTTTTCGTGAGCACCTAATTAAACAGCTTGAGTTAATTTAAGAATCACCAATTTAACTATCTTCTTTATCTAATACTCGGACAATCAGGGTTATACCAAAACCATTAATTGTCTTTTCTTTGGGATCAATTTAGTGATCTACATTAATATATATCTTACATATTTCTCTAAGGATATAAGATAAGAATAAAAACATAGGCTGCGTGTTGTAATCATAATTTTTTTTTATTAGTTAAAACAAGACTTATTTTTATCTTGTATCTTTTAACAATGAAGCCAATTTATTTTAGTTCTAAAATTATAAGTTTGGAAAATGATTGATATTGACGTCAATGTTGAAAGTTACAAATAAAAATAGGTTTAGTTTAAATGACATTTAATACTAACGTAGACTGCCGATTTATTCATCAAAATTTATGTTTAAAAAATGTATGCACGCATTGAAGTCAGCTATTGAAAAGCATTTAAACAAAATACCTTTTTCATTGGCTGCTACTATAATCAATGGAGTTGACTACAGATGACTTCGACGTATGTACACTTTTTTTTCTAAAATGAATATTCAGATTCACTATAGCTTAGTTTATTGAATTAATGACATTTGCTCTAATTTTATTAGATTAATAAATAAAGTTATTGCAAGAGCAGTACTTAATATTAAATGCTATATTATACTGAAATACATTTACACAAATTTAATTTTAAACATATTCCTTCTATAGGCACCGTTGGTCAAAAAATATTGTCTGGTGTGAGGGTCTTAGAGTTCGATAATAACATTATGGTTTGCAATTATTTATTATTTTTATTTACTAATACATTATTATTACATTAGATTATTTTGTTTGGGGCTATTTTAAATTGTCATTTTTTTTTAATATACAGTTTTAAGCCGATAGTCTTAAGTGGTCATCAGGGTGGTTTAACCCAAAACCAGTTCTGGTAACCTGTCTAATTCGAGTTTAATCAAACCGGAGGACCGGATTATTGGCTTTCACAATTTGTCATCTTAAGGAGAATGTGTTAAAAATTTCGGCTAATGATAGAGAACTCATTTAGGTGTCCTGCCTTTTTTTTGGCAAATATCTCGCGAATGATGTCGTAATATATTTTTTACAAAAATCTGTATACAAAAAAACTTCTTTTTTTAAAAATGGCGGTGGTGATTCGGTAGGTTTAAAATATGAAGAGCAGACCCATGTTCGATTCCCAACGGGATGAATCCTTTTAATGAAACCAATCACTTGAATGAGGTTTGGGTACGGTTCAAAGGTAGCCAGAGAATATGGAGTAGGGTTATATATTTAAAGAAGGGAGTTTTTTATATATATAAAATTTGGTCATCGTTTAGTAAATTACTATATGGCAAACCGAAGCGACCTCTATCATTATCCTTAAAATTATCCCCTCAAAACATGTTTAATAATATAAAATTTGATGTCCTAATATATTTACAATTATTAATTATATTTTTTTGCTTGGATCTTAAAGAGTTGATTAGGAGGCTGTGCCCCTGGTTCGGCTCAATTTTGATACTTAATTCTGTTCAGAATATGACAAAACAGTTTTTAAATTAGGACACCCTATTTTGGTTCGTTTTAACTATTGGCATTGTTATCATATTTTTTTTGCTTTTTAGACTGTTTTATTGTTAGTAAAAAGCCGGCTGTTTTGTAATAATTGTAACCATGATACACCCTGTTGTTGATAAATCGTTTACTAAATATCCTTGTGTTTTATATCCATTTAAAAAAAAATAATATTATATTTTTTGTATTTTTAAATAGGAGATCACAATTGTATTAATGCAAATGAGAGGATTATTCTCAAATTTGTATTTCAGCATTTTTATTCTTGATGATAATGGAAGAATTGATTTATCCAAATTTTGCAATAAAAAAAAAACTGTCGAAAGTTTATGTTTCAATTTTTTTATAGATTTTCACCACAATCGTTTTTTGATAAATATTATTTCACCAAATTTAAAAATAAAAAAAAACATTACATGGCCCCTTAAGCTGGAAGTAAAACTAGCCGTGGAATACATGAGCTTTAGCGCCCACGCCGATGCCAAGGGTATACTACAACTCATACGTAATTGCGAGCCCGCCAACGTTCTCTTGGTACATGGGGAGGCTGAAAAGATGTCCATTTTGTCCGGTCAAATAAAATCTGAATTCGGTATTTTTATATTATAGACACTTGTATCTTGATATATTATTGCTTGCGAAAAGTTAATCCGTTTTGGACCTAAATTTAATTGGGAAATTAACTATTCTGTTTTTTAAAATTCGTTAAATGTCTATTAATCCAGAGTCATCCAGGCGGGGGCCATGTTTTATAATAAATTAATTAAATTACATTACATGTTTTATGTGTTTTTGTTTAAAAAATATATATCTCACCTAATTCAATATTTTTAAAAATATTTGTTTCAAATCACGTGCTTAATTTTGAGGATTGTAAGAAGAGTAGTATTTTTGGAATCCGAAAAATATATATTATGAACAATTTTTTTTGATAATGGATATCGATATTTGGACTGCCGAAACGTCAATCTTATTTAACTTCTACGCATAATTATATAATTATTATTATTTCTCTAAAACAAGGTGTGCCTTGCTATTTCCCTGCCAACGGCGAGAATGTAGACATTCATGTCGAAACCTCCATTTACGCTGATTTGAGTTTGGATCTGCTGAAATATTCTGCCCCTTACCCGGAAGACATATTTGATGAAGCGAATTCGATAAATGGAAACGAGTCTAATCATATTAAAACCAGTAAAAGATTATATATCGCATGTGAATTAGATTATTTTAAAATGACTTTTTTTATTATTATTTACATTAAAAAATCCGAAATATTTATAAAATAATTCAAATTAAATCCGTTACTAGGTTAACCACCCTATTGAAAACAATAGAAACTTAATTTTTAAAATTTCTCTGCTATAAAATTATAAAAAGTGGAGGTAGAATATTCTAATTCTCAAGTGACGATATATATAAAATATTGTATTTCAAAATAACTCCTCAATTATGAAATGTCACGAAATAAAGTATTTGATGCTGTTTATTTTCAAAACTTGTAAAATGCTGTATAAAAGCTACCCTTTTTGGCGCTATGATTTTTGGGTCTAGAAATTAGAGTTCTTTATGGCCTGTTGAAGTCGGACGAGTCCTGTTGTGATATCCAAATTGATCGCTATCTATTAACTAATCGCTACCTATTAAATAAAAGATTGATTTTTTTTTATTCTTTATATTAAATTAACTTTAACCTCGCGGACTCGTTTTATAAAATTAACTCAATAATTCGATATAAATTACATGATAGATTTTGTAAACTATATAAACTTAGAAATTTATTGTTTTTACCAGTTAAAATATTTTTAAAATAAATTTATTAAATAAAAGTTTTAAATCTCTTTGTAATAAGGCGTGGGTTCGAATCCCACCGTTGCCACCATATTATGGTTGGCAAAAAATGAGAAAAACAGATACTTAAGTTTATTTAATAAATTTATTTTAAAAATATTTTTTAACTGGTTAGTACAATAATTTTCTAAGTTTATATAGTTTACAAAATCTATCAAGTAATTTATGTCAAATTATTGAGTTAATTTTATAAAACGAGTCCGCGAGGTTAAAGTTAATATAATATAAAGAATAAAAAAATCAATCCTTTATTTAATAGATAGCGAGATAGCGATCAATTCGAACATCACAACATTTCACCCCTTAAGAAACAAACTCCGCTCAAATTCTTATTGTACGTGAATCTTTTATGTTCAAAACACAATCTTGATATCGTGCGGGTAATGTTCTATTCCGGCTAGGCCTCGTAACGTCGGCTGTACATTCTTTTTTTTGTTCAGTAACATTTCTCTTCTTGTAAAATGTAATCGTTGGTAAAGTATTTGGGTCATGAATTAATATTTCGTCAGTGGTAAATCTTTTCTTAAATTGGTCTAAGTGCCTCCTTTATATACCATTTTTCGTTTGAATTAGAAGTAACATATTACTTTCTTTTTTAACTATTATGCCTTCATCTCACTTGTTTACTCCAAAATTTCTATACCAAATTTTTTCTCCAATATTCATCGTTATATTTTTTGGTAAAACTGTGAACGAAGTGTTGTCGTCGTCTTTCTTATATTTTAATAAATCCCAATTTGTTCTCATATCATGATTGAACATGAGTTTTCTTGGTGGGATGCCAGTCGTACTGTTTGGCGTGTTTCTGTAGTTGAACAAAAATTATTCCAAAGCGATGTCTATGTCCATGTTATTTTGTTCCATGTACTTCTTCATATGTGATTTAAAGGTTCTTACCATCCTTTCAACTTGCCCGTTTGACTGTTTATGGTGAGCTGAAGTCAAGTGATGTATATCATGGTCTCTACAAAAAATTTTTTAAAGTTGACTTGTAAAGTTTGAGCCATTATCAGAAACTATTTGTTCTGGAATACCTAATTGTTTTCATCAATTCTTTTATTGTAAATTCCTAGGTTATTGATTTCACCGGCGTGATTATAGGAAACTTACTGTACGCATCTACTATAAGCAACCAGTACTTGTTAAAAAATGGCCCAGCATAATCAATGTGTATTCTTTCGAATGGCTTCGTCGTTAACATACAAGGATGCTATGTATTAATGGGATTATCAGCCCAAATGTTACATGATTTGCATTCTTTTACTTCGTTATCAATGTCATTGTTAGTTCCAGGCCACCAAAGGTATTCTTTAGCTAAATGTTTAGTTTTGCAGCACCCAAGTGTCCTTCTATTGATTTTCTTAAAACTTTAGGTACAATGATTTTATTTTCTTTAAATAGACAATTTCCTATAATACATAATTCCGTCACCATATTGTTATATGTTTTATTTTTTATCGTGTCACCGTTTCTAATGTCGTTCATTATTTCCATTAATTCTCTGTCGTTAGAAGTTGCTTTTTCGATAATTTTAAAGTTAATTGGTACGCCCCATAAATCATTATTTTCTTTCATATCATCCATAATGTGTATTTTATTTCTTCTTCTGAAGGTGTTAATGGCAATCTGACACCGTGTTGTGTTTACCCGCTCTATGTCGTATTTCGAAATCGTAAGCTCCCATTGCAATATTCCACTTCTGCAACCTCATCGACATAGATGAATTTTCTTTTAAATCTTTGGAAAATATATAAATCAACGGTTTGTGATCGTGATGATTATAAATTTAGTTCCGATAAGATATTTTTGAAATCTTTTCATCGGAAAAATATCGCCAACGCTTCCCGTTCAATGTTAGTGTAATTTCTTTCGGATTTAAGTAAGGATCTTGAGGCAAAAGCTATCGGCTTTTCTTTGCCGTCCCCTTCTAAGTGAAATAAAATAGCTCCCAAACCGAGTTTAGATGCATCCGCGGCTATACCTATGGGTAAATCAGGATTGAAAAAGTTCAATGTGGGAGAATGACTGATTAAAGTTTTTAATTTTTTATAACATTCTTGATGTTCGGTATCCCAAGACCATTTATCTTTGTTGATTATTTTATATAGTGGATCTACCAGATCCGCAAAACTGTTTAAAAATTTACGGTAATATCTCGCCATGCCTAAGAAAGTAGATAATTCTTCTGAATTTTTTGGTTCCGGCATATCTATAATTTTTATTTTATCATCGTGGGATGTATACCAAGTTTGTCTATATCATGTCCCAAAAGCGTATTTTATCTTGCATGAATAAACATTTGTCGAAATTGGGGGTTAATCCATACTTGATGATCTTTTCGAATACTTTTTTAATGTTCTCCAAATGTATCTCATCGTTATCATCTGTAATTAATAAGTCGTCAATCTAGAATATAACATCTTTTAAATCTCCGAAAACCTGTTCCATAGTCTGTTGGAATATGGCTGAAGATGTTTTCAGTCCGAACGGAAGTCTCGTGAATCTGAATTATCCTTTATGCGTGGATATAGTTAGCAAATCTCTAGAGTCTTTGTTAATAGGAATTTGCAGAAAGGCTTGTTTGAAATCAATTTTACTAAAATTTTTTCCTCCAGTTAACTTGGCAATCAAATTGTTAATTCTAGGTATGGGGTATTTGAAATCTTCAAGCGCTGGGTTAACTATGTCTTCAAAGTCGGCGCATAATCTGAGACTCCCATTGTTTTTAAAAACTGGTGTGAGTGGACTCGCCCATCTAACGTCTTTTACCGGCTCGATGATTTTATTTTCCAGCCAGGTATTTAATACTTTAGTTATAATATCTACTCTAGAATAAGGTACCCTTCTCGGTGGTATAATTTTTGGCTTAGCATTTGACTTTAGTCGTAACCTGACTTGCGTTTTTATAACAGGTTTATTATTTAATTTAGACTTACAATTGGATATTAATTCCGCCAAATCGTTTTTATGATCCGTGTCGATTAAGCCTATAAATCTTTCAAGCATGTTTTTAAAATGTTTTAACCAAGATCTTCCTAATAAAGGCATCTTGTTACTGTTTACTATCAATGCATCTAAAATTTGAGAACTTCCTTCGCATTCTACCTCCAGGCGTGTTGAGCCTATCACTTGTATAGTCTTGCCGTCGTAACCAGATAACTGAATGTTGGACTTCTTAATGTTTTTTATGCCTACTTTCTCAATCATATACTTTGGTGGAATTGTGAATTTCGTGCCCGTATTCACTTGTAGTGAAGTATAGATGTTATTAATTTTGATGTTCACCATGTATGCGTTATCTATAACATTTTGTACTTCGTTTTCTACGTTATTAATATCAATATTTAACAAATTATAATCTTTCTTATCGATTGATATGATTTTGTCGTCTTCGATCTCTTCTATGTCAACTGTATTAATTTTATTTGAATTAGGTACTTGGTGACTAGGATTATGATTCATGTAATTTTTATTGTCACGATCGTAAAATTGTTGATACACGTTAGATCTATTATAATCTCTAAAATTTTAAAACGGTTGTCTGGTATTGTCAAATCTGTTGTGGTTTTTGAAATCATTAAAAGGCTTGTAATTATTATTATGTCCTTTGTTGTTAATATTAAATATATTATTATTGTTATCTCTTGTGTCGTGATTATTGAAAGGAATATAAGAAGTTTCCCATCTATTTTGATCATAAAATCTATCATAGTTTCGTCTTGGAAAATGATAGTTATTTTGGTTGTTGAATCTTATGTTGCCATAATAGTCGAGTCTGCCATGGTTGTCTAAACTGATGGCTGTAATTATTATCATGATATCTGTTGCTCTCACCATATGACATCATCTGGGTGTTGTCATATCTAATATTAATAGGTTTTAGTTCATAAACTTTCTTACCTTATGCTCCCTCCAAATGTTTTAGATAGGAGTGTGTATTTTCTTTGATAACAATCATATGTATAGATGTTTTGATGTCTGTTTCGTCTAATTCTTTGCCGCGCCGACTTTAAAGATACAGTTAACCCAGCGCTTGAAGATTTCAAATACCCCATACCTAGAATTAACGATTTGATCGCCAAGTTAGCTGGAGGAAAAAAAATTAGTAAAATTGATTTCAAACAAGCTTTCCTGCAAATTCCTATTCACAAAGACTTTAGAGATTTGCTAACTATATCCACATACAAAGGATACTTCAGATTCACAAGACTTTCTTTCGGACTGAAAACATCTTCAGCCATATTCCAACAAACTATGGAACAGGTTTTCGGATAGATGTTATATTCTACATTGACGACTTGTTAATTACAAGTGATAACGATGAGATACATTTGGAATACATTAAAAAAGTATTAGAAAAGAGCATCAAGTATGGATTAACCCCCAATTTCGACAAAAGTTTATTCATGCAAGATAAAATACACTTTTTGGGACATGATATAGACAAACTTGGTATACATCCCAACGACGATAAAATAAAAGCAATTATAACCAAAAAATTCAGAAGAATTATCTACTTTCTTAGGCATGGCGAGCTATTACCGTAAATTTTAAAACAGTTTTGCGGATCTGGTAGATCCACTATATAAAATAATCAACAAAGATAAATGGTCTTGGAATACCGAACATCAAGAATGCTATAAAAGATTAAAAACTTTAATCAGTCAACCTCCCACATTGAACTTTTTCAATACTGATTTACCCATAGGTATAGCCGCGGATGCATCTAAACGCGGTTTGGGAGCTATTTTATTTCACTCTTTTGCCTCAAGATCCTTACTTAAATCCGAAAGAAATTACACTAACATTGAACGGGAAGCGTTGGCGATTATTTTTGCGATGAAAAGATTTCAAGAATATCTTATCGGAACAAAATTTATAATCATCACCGATCACAAGCCGTTGATTTATATATTTTCCAAAGGTTTAAAAGAATATTCATCTTTGTCGATGAGGTTGCAGAAGTGGAATATTGCAATGGGAGCTTACGATTTCGAAATACGACATAGAGCGGGTAAACACAACACGGTGTCAGATTGCCATTAACACCTTCAGAAGAAGAAATACACATTATGTATGATATGAAAGAAAATAATGATTTATGGGACGTACCAATTAAAAAATGTTGGAAAAAGAAACTTCTAACGACAGAAAATTAATGGAAATAAGGAACGACATTAGAAACGGTGACACGATAAAAAATAAAACATATAACAATATGGTGACGGAATTATGTATTATGGGAAATTGTCTATTTAAAAAAAAAATCATTGTACCTAAAGTTTTAAGAAAATCACTACAACATTTACACGAAGGACACTTGGGTGCTGGCAAAAATAAACATTTAGCTAAAAATACCTTTGGTGGCCTGGAATTAACAATGACATTGATAACGAAGTAAAAGAATGCAAATCATGTAACTTTTGGACCGATAATCCCATTAATACACAGCATCCTTTGATGTTAACGATGAAGCCATTCGAAAGAATACACATTGATTACGCTGGGCCATTTTTTTACAAGTACTCGTTTCCTATAATCACGCCGGTGAAATCAATAACCTCGGAATTTACAATAAAAGAATTGATGAAAACAATTAGCTTATTTGGTATTCCAGAACAAATAGTTTCTGATAATGGCTCATCAAAAAAAATTTGTAGAGACCATGATATACATCACTTTCAGACTTCAGCTCACCATCAACAGTCAAAAGGGCAAGTTGAAAGGATGGTAAGAACCTTTAAATCACATATGAAGAAGTGCATGGAACAAAATAACATGGACATAGATATCGCTTTGGAGAAATTTTTGTTCAATTACAGAAACACGCCAAACAGTACGACTTGCATTCTACCAAGAAAACTCATGTTCAATCATGATATGAGAACAAATTGGGATTTATTAAAATATAAGGAAGACGACGACAACACTTCGTTCACAGTTGAATATTGGAGAAAAAATTTGGTATAGAAATTTTGGAGTAAACAAGTGAGATGAAGGCATAATAGTTAATAAAGAAAGTAATATGTTATTTCTAATTCAAACGAAAAATGGTATATAAAGGAGGCACTTAGACCAATTTAAGAAAAGATTTACCATTGACGAAGTATCAATTCATGACCCAAATACTTTACCAACGATTACATTTTACAAGGAAAGAAATGTTACTGAACAAGAAAAAGATTGTACAGCCGACGTTACGAGGCCTAGTCGGAATAGAACATTACCCGCACGATATCAAGATTCTATTTTGAACATAAAAGATTCACGTCCAAGAAGAATTTGAGCGTAGTTTGTTTCTTAAGGGGTAAAATGTTGTCTTGTCCAAATTGATCGCTATCTATTAAATAAAAGATTGATTTTTTTTAATATTCTTTATATTAAATTAACTTCAACCTCGCGGACTCGTTTTATAAAATTAACTCAATAATTCGACATAAATTACTTGATAGATTTTGTAAACTATATAAACTTAGAAAATTATTGTACTTACCAGTTAAAAAATATTTTTAAAATAAATTTATTAAATAAAAGTTTTAAATCTTTTTGTAATATCTTATCTTACTCCCTGCCAACCTTAACAAGTCCAATTATACCAGATCAACCTTTTGGCAACTCGAGCCTATTTAAATTTTTTTTCTTGATAAATTTGAATTTGATTTAGTAAGAGTAAGAATTTGTAAAACTGTATTTGTCTCTGAAATTAAAAACATTTTGTCAAATATTATTTTATTTTCGTCAAAATCTTTTTCTTTCTTAAAATTTCTTTTTCTTTCTTTCTTAAAATTTCTTTTTGAACTTTAAAATTAAATTTTTTAAACCGGCATCGAGTGGGAATATATCGTCGTGGCCGAAACTCTAGTTTGGCTCGGCATCGCCAGATGCGCTATATTATTCAGCTTTGAAACGTTTTTAAATTGATTTTTTTTTAAAAAAAAATAATAGGAAACATAGAAACCTGCTGTGATCTGAAGCGAATTATTGAGGGAACAATATTAGTCAAAGATAATGTAATTTATATTTTATTATTTTAATTAGTAAAAAAAATACCTTTTAGCCTAATATTATTTTTTTCTATATTAGAAGCTTCAACTTTTACCAACTGCCGTAGCTTACCGGGAAGCCAATATAAAGCTGCCACCTCCTAAAATACGTTCCTATTTCAAATTAGCGCTCGATGTGAAAGACCAAGAGATCATGGATAGGTTTAGGTCCACTATAAACGATAGAAAGGGACAACCGTGCCCTGAAAAGGAATCGGAAGGTGACAACTCGATAGCTAACGCGGTTAGAATCTTCTGGACTAATGAATTGACCACAATGCTTGAAAAGTTAAACAAATTTTTTTTGCCTATTCTGAACTTAGAAAATAATTTTTTGTCAACCCTTGAGTATGAACCTCAGAGATTTTTAAATTACTACAAATAAAATCTGTCAATATTTTAACTTGATTTTTTGTAAGTAGCTTCCTTTGTGCTAATCTACGTTTCTAGTTTCATGCATTTTACCTGAATGATTTTTTTCAAAAAGTTATGAACATATTTTTGAAGAAAGCATATTTTTTAACTATTTAAAATAAAATATAGTATTTGAGACTTTGTTCTACTATCGACACCCTTTTGCAAAAAATTTATAATTTCTATTTATTTAATACGAATATATTAGAATCAGTTTTTCGCTTGCTGATTTGTAAATTAGAAATTTAACTTTTCATCTATAATTTATTTACCTTTTTATTTGAAATTTGTGACCGAAAAATTTAATATTGTTTGATTTTGCCTACCTTATCGTTTTTAATTGCATACCTTATTGACCATTTATTATTACCTTCATATTATTATAGAATATGAATTACTGCTTTTATATATAAAAACTATATAAGACCACTCTACGAAATGAAGATAGATTCAGTTTTGTCGGGACATCCAGCTTGAGGCATTTTTTATTTTCTATACAGGACAGAAATGTACTTTGCTCCGAGGTGTGTAAAAGAAATCGCCTAATAATTCCCATTTTATTTACACTGAAACGACGTGGCTCATTAACACCACATTATCTGAACACCAGAACTCTCGTTAATAAGGATTGCTGTTTGCTCCCCATTGCTTGAAAGTGGGAGATAGATTTATGGATCTTAGCAGAGTAAAGAAAAGGAAAAAAAGAATGAATGTAAAAAACAAATACATGAAAAGAAGAATTCTTAAAAAATATAATAAGCGTTTATGCTTTCCGAATCGGTATTTATAAAAATTTTACCTTTTTAAAATATTATTTCGGGTATATTTCTATAGTATTTCATATATTCGTTCTTTTCCAAAAAAAATTAAGGAGAATGAATCAATAATATCTAGCTCTTGTTATGTACCATTTTCATAATATCTAAAAAAAATTGTTTTTATGCGCCGAATATAATATCATTTCGCCTACATTTTTTACGTTTTTATCTAAAACTCAGCTGTTGCAAGTGTACGATATGCATGCGAGAGAAACCTTTTATTCGAACGGAAAAGAATGTATTTTCGAAACTGAAAGGAAACGTTTATGTAAGATGTGTGAGAAGCTGTATAGCCTACGGTGACGAAACCAGGATGATAGCGGCGTGTGAAGTTAAACTAGAAAGAACGTAGATGAGCATGATCAGATGGATGTGTGGAGTGTAATCAGAGGGGGAAAAATTGGTATAGTAGCGATTGGAGTTGTGATGAGAAGAAATAGACTGAAATGGTTTGGGCACCTTGAACGTGGGATCAAGACTACGAAGAAGACAAACGAAGACGTGGGTGGATGGGTTAACTGGTGACATAATAACAATGGGTCTTTCATATGACGACGCCCAAGATCGTAAAAAGTTGAGAAGGGTCAGAGGGGTAACTGGCTACCCGGATAAACCTATAAAACCGCCAATAAACGATAAAAAACGAGATACTGGAAAAAGTTTATTCACATCAGTTGTCTGCAATGCACGGCCTAGCCCATCCTTCTAAGAATATTTTTGGGCCGGACCGGGCAAAAAATTGCAGTAGTTATGTCGTGCAAAAAAAAATTTTGCATTATATATTTAATGAATTCTGATATTTCATAGAAGTTATAATCCATAAAGTATAGTGTTGTTAATTTAACCTTTCCCCAAGATTATAAATAGTTGTTTATTTTGGGCCAACAACATCACCTATGCTGAGATAAAACGGATAAAAATATAGCAAAATTACTTAGCTATCAACCTCTAGTATTACTTTACCTTAAAACTCAAGGATTATTAATTTAAATATGATGTTAACAATTAAAAAATTAATAAAATAATGAACTTGCTTACTTCATCAATTATTTCTTTATTTTATATGCAGTAATAATACGATTTGTTGTAACACATTTCCATAATGTGAAAATACATTCTTATATGGTTGAATAACTTTCCGTAATTATTGTAAAAAAATTTTGATATAAATTTAAAAAAAAAAAATTATTGATAATAAAAGTTTTAAAACGTTAATGAAGACTAACATCAAAGTTATGAAAATTTTTCAAAATGTGAAAAATAGAGTTTTTTTTATGTTTAACACACAAGTTTAAGTGGGAAAATGAGAATTTTAAAAAAAAATTCCATAAAAAAAATTTTCTAAGAGTTTTACAATTACTTTTTTAAAAAAAGTAATTATAATTTTTTTTAAAAAATCTAAAGTATTATTTTAATGTTTTAATTTTACTTTTAGTTATCTAAAGATTGGAAATCCGGATATGAAATTAGAATGATTTCTAAATAAATATGAATGAAAATTCGAATTTAGTGTTTTCAATTCATTTTGTTTAGATTTCTTTTATGATATTTGAGTCACCAAAATAAAAAAAAAAGCTATTTATTATTTATTTATTCTATGTAAATAAAATATTATACAATACAAAAATTCGATCTATTAAGGAATGCATCGAATTCCAATTTCAATGAATTTTGTGGTGTGGGAATAAAAATTTGAAAAATTACATGTAAAATAACTTCTCAAAATACGCTTAACAGTAGTAATAATTTCTATTCGTTTAATTGGTTTGGGGTACTTTTGATCGGTATAGATTTTTAAGAACTCCGAAAAAATTTCGATCGGATTTAATTGTGGCTAATAGGGTGGTAAAAATATATTTGGAATATTTTCACTAATTATCCTTGCTCGATAAATAGGAGCATTATTCATTATAAGCAATGAATTCAATGGTAATTTCATTGAGATATATTTTGAATTTTATGGCAGTGAAAGCCCCATCTATAATTGTGGCATTTTTCAATCCACTTATTCCTATTGTGCATAGGACTGATATATTATTTTCTTTGGAAGGAGGTAACTTAACAGATGGCCTTTTTCCCATGGGTGCTCACCCATAGTGCGAAATAATATGGATATTAAACCCTATCTCGTGCAGGAAGAATACATTTTTAGATGAAATACATCTTGTCACAATATTCCTTACGAATTTGAATTACATCAGCGTTTCCCCTATCGGATTCTTTTCCAACCCCTTTCTGGCTCCAACTCATATATGTTTTGATATAGACGACTAGCTAGATGTGGCGGTAAGTGTTCTATTATATTTTTGATGGTATAGCCGTTATTATTACCATCAGCTATATTCGATTGAAGTTCTGTGTTGTCTTTTTTTTCGACCTCGTTGTTTTATTATATAATCAGATAAAGGGTCGTCATAATATTCAGGGAAGTTTCCCGTTTGAAACGATAAACTGAATCAATGGATTGATTTAGATCATGGGTAATTATCTTTACTTTAAATGTTAAATTTTACTATCATTTGAATCTCCAATTTCAGGTTTGTTAATATAATATTCGATTATTTACTAACTTTATTTACATATTTTTTGATACATCTAATGAAACTTCATATTCTCTCGGGGGGTTATCTGAATTAACAAATGGACCAAAGTTATTCACCTATCCCATCAAATTATCTTAGATGTCTAACTGACATTACAAACCGATGTCAATATTCAAATATTCACGAGAAACCAAATTTTTATTCGTTTGCCGAAAAAAATGGTATAATTGGAATGATGAAAAATGAAACTGACTAAAATATGGCTGAGCAAACCAATTGATGATCAGCCCAATATATTCATCTTGGACGAGACAGGGTTTAATACGCATATTATTTCGCACTATGTGGGCCTTGGGAAAAAGGCCATCTGTTAAGTTATCTCTCCATAGGGAAAAATATATCAGACTTATGCACAATAGGAATAAGTGAATAAATGTCACAATTATAGATGGGACTTTCACTGCCATAAAATTCAAAATATACCTCGATGAATTATATACAATTTTACCAGCGAATTCATTGCTTATAATAGATAATGCTTCTATTCATCGAGCAATGATAATTAGTGAAAATTATCCAAATATCATATTTTAACCACCCTAGCAGCAATTAAATCCTATCATATTCTCCTAAACCAATTAACCTAATAGAAGTTATTGCTATTGTTACTAGTATTTTGAGCAGTTATTTTACATATAATTTTTTAAATTTTTATTCTCACACCACAAAATTCATTGAAAATGGAATTCGATGCATTCCTTAAGATGATTGAATTTATAATTGATTTGTATTGTATAATATTTTATATAAGTAGAATAAATAATTAATAAATGGTTTTTTTTATTTTGGTGTTTCAAATTGATAATAAAAGAAATATAAACAAATAAGAATGAACTGAAACCCATAACTTATAATTTCATATCCTGATATTCTTTAGATAACTAAAAGTAAAATTAAAACATTGAAATAATACTTTAGATTTTAAAATAAAATTATAATGTATTTTTTTAAAAAAAACAGTTATTATAAAAACCTTATAATTTTTTTTTTATGGAATATTTTTTAAAATTCTCATTTTCCCCCTTAAACCTGTCCTAAACAAAAAAAAACTGTATTCGAACTTTCCACATATTGAAAAATGTTCATAACTTTGACGTTATTCAATTTTTAAACTTTTATTATAATTTAAAAAAAAAATTATATATAAATATTTTTTACAATAATTACGTTATTTAACCATATAAGAATGTTTCACACACGGAAATGTGTTACAACAAATTATTATAAGATTTATATTTTACTGATCTTTTATTTATAATTTTATATTTTCTGTTTTTATTTTATATTGCGGCTAGTTATCTTAATGGAAAAGTTATATATTAACCTTTTTGTGGTTAAATAATAATATATACTTAATTGATTTAATGTATTATATTTTCTTGTTGTCAAATGTTTTTTTATATACAATTATCTTTTACCGAAATATATAACTATTATTTTATTACTTAAATAAATACTTAACTCTATCCTTAAAATCCCTACAACACAAGTTTAAAATTATTTTTAAAAAGATATGGCAGAACCGAGTATTATAATCAAACGATAAAAACTCTAGACTAATTTTATTCGAAATTTTTTTTTGATAGACAATTTCGAGTTAACATTCTTCTTAAATTTATATTTCTAGAAGGGTTTCCTTTCATATATAAATAGTTAGTCCATAATAATATAATTATACCGTAATTATTCCAATTATTAATTTACCTTGTTAAAAATAATTTTTATATACTATTTATTATAAACAGAGAATCAAAAACTGTTGCCCAGTCTCCTCAAATTAAATCTCATCATAAAAGATTAAAAAGTAATGGGGATACTCAAAGCCAGTCATGTAGATTCGATATCAAAATACCCTCCTCGTCTATTCGAATACTTTCCGAAGATTTTATCATTCTTAATCCTGATCAAATTCTAACTACTCACGGCTTTTCGCTCAATTTAACGCTTTCTTGGGATAATAAAGTTACAATATTTTAAATTATTATATCGGAATTAAGCATTTCGATATTGGTCACTTCTTAAAAAAAATTTGAGAAAATATTATTCTACAAATTATTCTTTTTTTTAAAAAATTTATTTTAATAATACCATCACTTTTTTTTCAATGTATTTAACGGTTTTCATGATTAATTTATGATTATTTTGACATAATAGCAAACACTAATATTTTTTTTTATTCTATTAATTTAGGACGAAATACGTGGAATGAAAATATTGAAATGTTTGCAAAATATATATTCGACATAAATATGTAATAACATTATGTGTAGTGTAATAAAAATGAATGATGACTTATTTTTTTTATATCTTTCTCCCCCTAATTAAATAGCGTATTTATTAAATTTGAATACCGAACGGTATTTATTGATTTTAAAGTAATGATGATAAATCGATAATATACATTTATTAAATTAAATTAACTGGTTCACAAATGTTTTAATGGTTCTACTAGGATTTCTTTTCTTATATTTTGATTTAGTTGATACGGAATCCAATGTGACATAATGGATGACACGTTAAAGCATATTTAGTTAAATTTTCCCTCGATCCAGAACCTGGGCAATTACTATGAAAATTTTCGCAAGGTGGGACCTTAATATTTAAATAAAAATTATCATAGCTAGGACCGTTTGACGAAATACCTTATAAGCCTGCTGCATTATTGATTTAAATTGCGATTTAATCAAATACCAGTATTTTGATAAGAGAGGTAATGGTTTAAATTAACATATCATCGCATATCATAATTTTTGGATAATTTGTTCTCTCTGTAACGTTTGTAATGACCATCTAGATAACTCAAGGTTAAGTAACTAATCTTAGGCTGGTTTAATATGTTGGCCGAGTAAAATATGGCATCCCTGCTTTCGGCTGCTAGTGTTATAATATTCATTTGGATGCACTAATTTTGAAAAAAAGACAACAAATACTTTCTAAATTTGTTAATTTATCTAGGTGTACTTATACCTGCTACCAGTATCTTTTACATTTTATTCACTCAATTATAATTTAATTTCTAATTTATTTATATTTCTTAATTAATATTTTGTTTACCTATTTTCGCTATATATGGAATGGATGTGTGCCCCTTATCTTCAACTTGATTTTCATTCTCTGCACTTTTATCATGTTCTATAAGTTTCAAATGTCAAATTAAAAATTGCAATTATCTAATACTATTAAATGTAATATAAGATTTAGAAATCTCTGATTAAGAAGTGTCGCTAATATCCATTGTTCAAAATATTTTTGAATGGCAGATTCCCTGAGCAATGAGTTGGGTGAAGGTTCGATCACGATCATTCCATCCGGATTTTCAAGGGCGAACTTGAGGAGCCGACTCTTAGTTATGGGGCTTTGATTATGGTGAAGGTTGAATCTATTAATGGGTAAAAAAAAACTTAAATAAAAATCGAAAAAATATGACGTGATTGAAATGGAAATTCATATGACTATTTCGGAGAATGGAAAATGCAATTTTTATGAGATGGGACAGGAATTGATTTGAGAAATAAACTATATTAACAATGTTAAAACTAAGAGTGCCTAAATCAATGAGAAAATAACTATTATGAAATAAAATTCATTTCTAAAATACGTCAAGACCATCGACGCCGCCTTATGCGGAAACTGATACAGCGAGCCGATTAAGGCTGCCAATAAACAATATTTAAAAAACCGTTTCACCGATTGAGACTTCGGCGCGTAGGTCTAATCATATTAAACATTAAAACAAAGGCCAATAAAAAGTATGCTGTTTATAAGAGTGGAAAATAAAATAATCAACTACAATGATGACAGGTTTTAAATGTTTACTAAATTTTATTGGCGCCGACTCCACGGGAGTGACAGGATTCTCGACCCATTGAAATATTCTATGAAATAGATATTATAGGTTCTCCCGTGGATGACAACCTCATTAATCTATTAAGATTACTTCCCTTAAAAAATTTAATATTCCATCCACCCTCGAATCGTGGGTCTCTTAAACAAAAACTCCACGCCCTGATGATATATCTTTCATTCCCTGGACTAATGGTCTTCCGCTTACTTGGGAATATACCTGTGTCGATGCAGCAAAGTCCAACTTCTCATTTTCTGCCATTGGAAAAGTAGAAATTCTTTAAAAAAACGAATACGCTGGCATCACCAACTCTGTGTTCATACTAATCGTTACCAATTCCCTAAACATGTTTGATAGTGGAACTCTCAATTTCATTAAAATCATACGAAAAAAAAGAAACAGATCTCAGAGGACCCCAATAAATAATTTTACCTTAGTCTGCGGTCCGATTATGCCTTCACTCTTCAATAGGATGATATGTACCTTTTTCCAATATTTTTTTTCTCAGTTCATTTTTATGTTTAGATGTTATACTTATATTTTTTTATAATTCAATAGTGAATATAAATAAATGTGTGTTTTAATTTAAATTTATATTTAACCTAATATATTTTTAAACACTTAATATACATAACGCATATTAAGAATTTAATATATTTAATAATTATAAAATGTACAATATTTAATCATGCTTTAGTTAACATACAAAGAAATATTTTAATTTAAAATAAATTAAAGATAAGTTTAAAAATTATATATTTAATCAAATAATTTTAAGCAGTAAATATATTTATATAACTTGGTGTAAATTTATATTTAGCTCCAAAATTATTTAAATAATTTATATCGTTTAAATTCCAGCAAATATTCAAAATTAAATTAATTATCTATAACTAGAGGAATAAATTAGATTTATCCACTTCTCGTCAAATCGGTGAAAATGACTCTTCGCCCGTTAAAGAAATATAAATTGATTAAAAAGAAGAAGAATAAATTTACTAGACATCAATGTGATCGTTTTAAAAGAGTTAAAGTAAAGTCCATATATATATATATGTCCTATATCTAATTCTTAAGCCAAACTGGCGTAGACCAAAAGGTATTGATAATCCTGTACGTAGGCGATTTAAGGGTCAGAAACTTATGCCAAAGATTGGATATGGAAGTGATAAAAAGACTAAACATATATTGCCGAATGGTTTTCGAAAAGTTCTAGTTCATAATACAAGAGTAATTTATTAATTACATTTTATATATTTTTATAATATTAGGAGTTAGAAGTATTGATGATGCATAATAAAAGATTTTGTGCTGAAATTGCACATTCAGTTTCAGCTCCAAAACGTAAATTAATTGTTGAAAGAGCCCAGCAACTAGCCATTAAAGTCACTAATGAACATGCTCGATTACGTTCACAAGAGACTACTGCTAATATATAATTTATTCACATTTTATATTAATAAAGTTTTGATTTCAATTAGACGTCTATATTTTTTATTATTAAGTATATTAGTAAGTGTTGATTTGGAACCTTTTCATTTTAAATTGTTTACTGAAGGCAATTTTAAATTTGAAAAACTTGTATTCATTTTTATATAGATTTTTCATATAAATTAATGAATTCACAAAATTTATTGACAAAAATTCTGTAGGGCAAAGGTGTACATGTCTTAAAATAATAATAAAATTTAGATGTCACCTTCAATAAAAGAATATAAAGTTGAAAAATCATTGATTTCCATTTGATCACATATATATGAATTTTAATCTACTTAACTAGTAAAATTTTTCTAGAAATAAATTTAATACTTAACACTATCAGGTAGGATAATATGTATTGCAAACCATTTCAAAAATATTAAATTAAAATTTTCATTGCAACTACCAAATTTTAGATCTAAATAATGTATTTTTTTAACCATTCCAATTTACTACATAAGAAATATAATATTTATTTTTGAAAGAGTGATAAACACAATGTGGAAATTAGTCTACTTTTCTACTTAATAAAACTATTAATATTTGATAATCATCTATGAATCAATATTATGACAATAAAGGTTAATTCATCATTGTGAAAAGCATAAATAAATTAAGTTTTACCTCAATGCATATTCTATTTTCTTTGGCTGCATGAATAAAACTTATGGGAACAATGATTGAAAAATTCATATCAAATTGCTAATGATTTCAATTTAAAATTTATGAAATGATTAATTATATTTTATATAATTTATGTATAAAATTTTAAAGCTCTAGTTCAAATAGGCTTTTATTATAATATGTGTATGATATGCCTTTGGACTAAATTATTATCAGGGAATTAAGTTGAATTGTTAAAGTCAACAACAAACTTCATCAAGGTGTTTATATTGATTTGGGACTTTTAGATATGAATTTTAAATGGCTTGATCTCAACAAAATTTATAATCAGGCAGTGGCGTAGCCAGGATTGATCCATGGGGGGGGGGGGGGGTTTGAAAAAAGTTTTGGGGCTTCGCCCCAAACCCCTTATCAAAATTTGCCAAAATTTTGTGTATTATACCCAGACCAGCATAAATATTAAAAAATATTAGAATTAAAATTTTTGCCAAATTTATAATTAATAAGCGACTGAAAGCATTATTTTGAAAATGTTATCAATGTTTAGTAAATTGTATATTAATTCAATCTATTCGATGTAAAAAAAATTTGCCTCCCCCAAACCTTCCAATTTTATGATCAACTCGTTAAAAATAATTATTTTAGATTAAATTTGTTGCATATAACAATATTTTGCAGAGATTTTATTTATTATTAACTTTATTTATTTAACTATGTATTTATTTTAATAATATCATAAAACAATAATTATTTTAATTAAATTTTTGACATATAACAATATTTTGCTAGAGATTTTATTTATTATTGAAGCTTTATTTATTTAACTATGTATTTATTTTAATAATATACTAAAGAAATAAATTTCAAAATATATAAATTGTTATACAGATTATGTATATTAAAAATTGAATGTAAATAACTATTTTAAAAAAATAAAATTGCAATAAAATATGTAATTCTTGCTAAAAAAATACAATTTAACAATTTTATTTAGTATAAACCCTTTATTTAACTATGTGTTTATTTTATATACAAAAAATAAATTTCAAAATTAGAAATTTTATACAGATTACTATTTTAAAAGTATATAGACATTGATGAGTCATTTTTTTGTATAGTAAAATCCTTATAATCTTTTTTGTTCAAAAAGTCTATGTAAAAATTAGAATTTCATCTAGTCTATTCATGATTAAGTTGTCATAATTTGAATTTTTTATTAAACTTAATATTATAATTTATTTGAAAATCAATCATATTTTCAATTTTTTAGTTTTTAAAAAAATAAATATCACTTCAATTATGTAATAGGAATAGGTATATATATATATATATATGGTGAATTCCATATCAAATTAACAAAAAAAAGTCGATTCATAAAAACAAATATGATGAACATTATATTAATATCGAAAACCGGAAATGACCATAGAAAAAAAAGGTATTTTTTTCCAGAGTTGTTAAAGTAGCGAAGTAGTGCGCTACTTTTAAAAAATATAATGAATGTAAGTATAAACATGAAAATTTAAATATGATATAATTAATTATAATTTTTATTATTTAATTTTGAAATTTAAATATATTTTTAATTTATATTTTCAATCTGTGTTAATAATCAAAAATGGCATCGCCCATGGATATCCAAATCCTTGAAAGTGATTCAGACATGGAAGATTCAATGGTAGAAAATGTAGTTAATAGCTCTAATAACGATTTCCCATTCCCTAGATTTGAAAAATTTTTTAAAATAAATATTAAAACAAAATCTGGATTCAAATTCCTGTGCTTAAAATGTAAAAAAAATATATCATCAAATCAATCGAGTAGCTAAATGCAACATCTTGAAGAATTTAGAAGGATTGAATGATTTAGAACCGTTGTCAAATAAAGAAAGGTTACTACTAAAATGATACTAAATCAGACTAATATCCTCAATTATATATACCTTTCTATAATATTCGTCAAATAAAAAAAGTTAGAACTAAAATGATACTAAATCTTTATTAAATAATAAGATAAAAAAATAAATTAATATAAATTAAAATTAAAGATTAAAAAAATTAAGTTCGTAAAATCATAATTTTATCCTTTATTCAAAATTATAACATTATCAAATTAACAAAATTATAAAAGTAAAAATAATAAAATCAAATATAAAAAGTTAATAATTATAAAAAGATCATCTTGTATGGTAAAAATTGGCCTTTTTATACTTTTTTTTCAATCTTCTTTATAACTAATATTCATAACTATTCAAATATAATATTTTTATCACGCGTTATAATAATAAATCCAAAAGAATTCTTTATGCAAATTAAATATAAAGTACAAATTTAACTAATCTAAAATTTACAACACCTCCCTACTTAAATTAGACCCAACATTCCGCGAATAATCAATCTTCTTTCGATCTCGACTTATTCTTCTTAATCTTTGTTG